AGCAAACTACCCGCCCTCCAAGACACATACAGCACCCGATGTCACAAGAAGGCCAAAAAGATCATCAAGGACATCAACCACCCGAGCCACTGCCTGTTCATCCCGCTATCATCTAGAAGGCGAGGTCAGTACAGGTGCATCAAAGCTGGGACCGAGAGAATGAAAAACAGCTTCTATCTCAAGGCCATCAGACTGTTAAATAGCCATCACTAGCACATTAGAGGCTGCTGCTGCCTATTGAAATCACTGGCCACTTTAAGAAATGGAACACTAGTCACTTTAATAATGTTTACATATCTTGCACTACTCATCTCATATGTATATGCTGCATTCTATTCTATAATATTCTACTGTATCTTAGTCCATGCCGCTCTGTCATTGCTTGTCCATATATGTATATATTCTTAAATCCCATTCCTTACTAGTTTTGTGTGAATTTGTGAAATTGTTAGATATTACTTGTTAGATAAGCACAAGCATTTCGCTACACCCGCTATAACAGCTGCTAAACACGTGTATGTGACAAATACAATTTGAATTCATTTGATTTGATTTGATGAGGTAGTCACCTGGAATGCATTTCAATTAACAGGTGTGCCTTGTTAAAAGTTAATTTGTGGAATTTCTTTCATTCTTAATGCATTTTATCCAATAAGTTGTGTTGTGACAAGGTAGGGGTGGTATGCAGAAGATAGCCCTATTTGGTAAAAGACCAAGTCCAGATTATGGCAAGAACAGCTCAAATAAGCAAAGAGAAACAACAGTCCATCATTACTTTAAGACATGAAGGTCAGTCAATACGGAACATTTCAAGAACTTTGAAAGTTTCTTCAAGTGCAGTCACAAAAACCATCAAGCGCTATGAGGACTGCCACAGGAAATGAAGACCCAGAGTTACCTCTGCTGCAGAGGATAAGTTCATTAAGTTAACTGCACCTCAGATTGCAGCCCAAATAAATGTTTCACAGAGTTCAAGTAACAGACACATCTCAACATCAACTGTTCAGAGGAGACTGCGTGAATCAGGCCTTCGTGGTCGAATTGCTGCAAAGAAACCACTACTAAAGGACACCAATAAGAAAAATAGATTTGCTTGGGCCAAGAAACACGAGCAATGGACATTAGACCGGTGGAAATCTGTCCTTTGGTCTGATGAGTCCAAATTTGAGATTTTTGGTTTCAACCGCCGTGTCTTCATGAGACGCAGAGTAGGTGAATGGATGATCTCCGCATGTGTGGTTCCCACCGTGAAGCATGGAGGAGGAGGTGTGATGGTGTGTGGGTGCTTTGCTGGTGACACTGTCAGTAATCTATTTAGAATTCAAGGCACACTAAACCAGCATGGCTACCACAGCATTCTGCAGCGATACGCCATCCCATCTGGTTTGCGCTTAGTGGGACTATCATTTGTTTTTCAACAGTGCTCAGCATATGTGGGATCTCCTTCAAAACTGTTGGAAAAGCATTCCAGGTGAAGCTGGTTGAGAGAATGCCAAGAGTGTGCAAAAATGTCATCAAGGCAAAGGGTGGCTACTTTGAAGACTCTAAAATATAAAATATATTTTGATTTGCTTAACACTTTTTTGGTTACTAAATGATTCCATATGTGTTATTTCATAGTTTTGATGTCTTCACTATTATTCCACAATGTAAAACATAGTAAAAATAAAGAAAAACCCTTGAATGAGTAGCTGTGTCCAAACTTTTGACTGGTACTGTATATAAAGAAACGCATCCAAGTTAGTCCAAGTCAATGTCTGCAATTCAATCTGTTTTCTAAATGGCATTTAAGATGATATAGATTTTATTTTGTCCTAGACAATAGCTAGGTTTTATTAAAGGAAAAATGTAATGTCATTACAAATTAGGACTTAAAAAAAAATATTATATTATATATTAGATTTCCGTCCAGAACGATAGTTCCAAAAACATACTCAACCAAATATGCAAATCATTTTTTAATTCCCCTCTATAAGTGTGCCTATTCCTCAGTGGCTCTGAGTGTTCCCCAGACAGTCAGGTGCTGGTGGGACTGATGATGATGATGATGATGATGATGCTAATGACACTGAACTGTGACTCTGCTCTCCAGAGCTTTCCCACACTCTGCCCATTGAGAGAGATTCCATGAAACAACAGAAGTGTGCATTGTTAAATGCTAATTCATTCCCATCAATACCTTAGGGGTAAAGTTTGTTAGTCAATCATATGGCAAATTATTATTGACCTTTTTTATTAGAATAAGAACTTTAACAAAAGGCTATATTTCAAAATAAGACTATGACATGTATTTATTTTCACCAGACACTTTTTTATTAAGGTCTTGGGAAATTATGTGAACAAAATTCCTCTCCCTATCCCTTGACACCACTAGGTAGGGGTCTTCGTCTATTGTCCCAAAGGAGCTCTGTGAGTGAATTTTCCTGGGTTTCCCACACTCTCTCCATTCACTGTTTTGCTTTCAATGGAAGAACAATAGAAGTGTGTCTTATTATTCATCCCATTAGCTATGCAGTTGAGTCTTGTCCCAGACAAAGAAGGCTACTATGTGTCTGTCTGCCCACCTGACTATGATAAGATGAGGGTATCAAGAAGCTTTATTTTTGTAAAACACCCAAAAAATCTACCAAGCATCAACATATTAGCAAACTCAAGATACAGAACACCCGTAATCGATGGAACAATGCAGAACAGATTTTTCAATGTAAAATGAGTTTATTTGCTTTCTGTAATGACATTGCACAAGTAAGCACTTCTGCACAGACTAATGTGCAAAGCATTCCCAGTATAAAAAGTAGGAAAAAATGTTGGTTAGGAAAGTAGTATGGGTTTCAATAATATGAGTTTCTCCTTTTTCTGTAAACTAAAGTCACTCTTCTGTGCTGCTGACAACCACCAACGTAGACAAATGCTCTGTCACACTAATGCAGAGTTCACGTGCTAGTCAGAACTAGGAAACAGGAACATTTCCCACTTACTAACTGGTCGAACACGGCACGTGTTTAACTACAACCCATAGCCGCGGGAAGTAGGGGTGCTGAAAAATCTGAATTAAAAAAGATATATTCATAATATATATATATTTTTAAACATATATTTTACAAAAGTAGTGCACTGGGCGTTTAATGGTCCTGTATTATGGACCAATATATCTGTCTGCAGCGCCAGCGCTGGCAAAAGTATTTGTCAGTGATTGGTCAACAGTACTTCTAGTAGGAGTGCTAACTATGGACGGGACTCTTCAATTAAGTGTTTGTTGTCATTCAACTAGAGACAACTAGTTTTCATGCACATATTTTCACTTGAGAGAAGACTACTTTTCATGAAAAAAAAATCATTTGAGAAATACTGCACCAAACATCTTAGTTAAATGTAAAGTTGTGCGACTAATACCTTGGCAAAAATGTTAAAATGTATTACAGATTTCCTGATTTGTCTTAAATTAATTCAGACTATTTTGAGGAAATATGTTGTTACTTCGGCATCCCAAGCGGGACAATGTGATGCGTGAGTTGAAGGAGTCAGGCGCAGGAGGGTAAATCACAGAATACAGAGTTTATTCCGTAATATAGCGTTACGCAGAATAGCGTCAACCAGTCCAGTGCGCAAAACAGGCGCACTGGAACAAAACAGGCACACAGGGAAAATATACTCCGGCAATACACAATACACAATACACAATACACAATGTGCAATGCGCAATGCACAGAGCTCAACCGCGCTACTACTCCTCACAATAAAAAATCACCCACAAGGACAAGGGGGGCAGAGGGAACACTTATACACGTACTAATGAGGGGATATGAACCAGGTGTGTGTAATAGACAAGACAAAACAAATGGAATGATGAGATATGGAGCGGCAGTGGCTAGAAGGCCGGTGACGACGAACGCCGAAGCCTGCCCGAACAAGGAGAGGAGGTAGCTTCGGAGGAAGTCATGACAGACAAAGAGTAATATTGCCGCTTTTTTCTTGTTGTTCAAACGAAGGTCTTTTAAGAGAGTGTGAGCCACCGATGTTCGCTTCGCCTAGCCGAATTCTGCTAGGAGCAAACTGAACCTACCTAGTATGCAGGCGCCTTTACTGTATTTGCTTCTAAAAATTGATAATCATAAATTGATAGTACATTCAGAGGTATTAGTGATACATGTCTCGTACCTCTAAACGCTCATCTAAATTCATTCACACAGAATATGACTTAAATATTGGACAATCTTGATGACATAAACCATTGTATCTGTCTTTCCTAGGATCTAAGATTTTAGGATGTCAAATGACCTGTACTTAGACTCTAATGCAAAGTATAGGATTTTAATAAACCATAAACAATCAGACACATTTCATAATTGTTTTTATTTTCATATAGAGAATACGTTTCTTAACTAGTAATTGTTAAGAACTTAAACTTTGTGACTAAACATCGCTACAATTGCTAGGAAACAGCTTCAAGACACACAGGCACTCATCATAGAGTGTGGGTTATATGAAATATTCATAGAAGAAACATGGACAAATGCAGCTTTAAAAACAAAGCAGACATCGGTTATATATCTCAATATATGTAATACAAACAGACACAAATTGGTATTGCATCACAAAAACAGGCGTGGATATCCAGCAAATCAATTAAAGATTTTTAAGTCATAAACAATAATGTATTTCCTGAAATTCCTTCACAGAAGGATATTGTTGCATAATTCAATAATGTAAACATTCTTTGCTATCTCACCCAATGTGGGTAATAAATAGATTATAATGAACAGTCAATAATATAAACCTTCCTTAGCAGATGGAGGAATTTCCTCTTACATAATAAGAATAACTTTACATGATACTCATATTGAATGAAAAGTGATGATAATATCAATATGAACTTTCATTAGGAAGGCTTTTTCACATATTCATGAAAAAATTATAAACACAATCAAATCAGAACTTTGACATTTTTTGCACAAGCAGAAGATTATGTCTCTTCCTATTCTCATTACTGTCCATTAATTTTAGACCAATATGGTCCATTGTGTTTGTCTGAGAGTGGAGCTTAAGTCTGCAGGACTCTTGTCTTTGCTGATACTGTGCTGGGTTGGGGAGCTGAGCTGAGGCAGGTCACTCTCCCTCCGGTTCTTATCAGAGGATGGCTGCAGGCTCTGGAAGTGGCTCAGCAGTCTTTTTTGGGACTCTGTCTTCACATACTTGGACAGGAAGTGCACAATCTCTTGGACACACCTGGAGTAACCCTGATTGACAGGTGCTGAGCAGGAGGATGAACTCACTGGTCGATACTGTTGCTGTCCTCTCAGGAAGCAAACTGTCAATTCCAGGATGTCAGCTTTCTCCAGCTTCAGGCTGCTGATTGAGGATCTCTGGACCCAGGAAAGACTTGAGCTGCTCAATGCTGCTGTTGATACGATCTCTGTGTAATTTCACCACTGGCTTCTTAGCTGCAAGAAGAGGAGAGTCATTAATAACATTATTCAGATATATGACATTAATGAAACACATAAACAATCAGTCAAATTAAATTCATTTCCTTGAATTTGAATCTCAATTTACCTTGTTGGTTAGAGTCAGGTGCTCCTTAGAGTAGATCATTGTTGAAGTGATTTAAGATGCCATGGCTGGATCTCTGTGCTGTAGAGGTCTTTGTGTAGAGAGAATCTGATTTCTACTGGCTTCATCTCTCTTCAATATAGTACCAAATCTTCATATGAATGTGTGGGTCTTGGGCTCTCACAGTCTGTAGCCAATGGGTGAGCTTGGGAGGACAATGAGGAATGTGGAGCTGACAATGGTCATGTCTCAGGGCAACAGGTGGAGGGGTGGGGGGTGATGGAGAGTGACTCACAGAGCACTGTGTGAATCTGGGAAAGTGGTGACCCCCAGATCTGCTGCCGGATGTTGGGATCAATTACATTGACAGAGCACACACTCATCATCACAATTTACATGTGTGAGATTGACTCAAATAGTTTCCAATAAAACATAGTGTTTCCTAATAATTTTGGATTGTTGAATAGTAGATACATATAACTGCTCTGACATAGTACAAATTCAATCCAATGTAAAGCACTTTGAATGGGTTCAAATACCTGCTCGTATTGCCTAATTAATCTAATTTAATAACTCAATATATCCGATTTCTTGATTTCCCCTATTATAACTGCCAAAACTTTAAACATATTTTAGATGTTTAGCTGTTCAGATGATTCAGAGAATATTCCTTTTCTTTTTCAATAATTGTACTGCTTTATAAACGTATCTATCATGTCTAAAACATAACCTCAGTTTTCAGGCTTCCTGAAATGTGCCTATTCCTCCACTGAGACTCAAAGGTGCTAGTGGGACTGATGATGCTAATGACACTGTACTGTTACTCTGCTCTCCAGAGCTTTCCCACACTTTTCCCATTGAGAGAGCTTCAAATAAACAATAGAAGTGTGCCTTGTTAAATGCTTATTCATCTCTACACAAGCAGTTCCCAATAAGCCCTTGGGAATAAAGCTCATGAGTACAATATTTCTCAATGAAGAAATAGACTAACACAAACATTTTTACTAGAGGTGAATGTTGTTGGAACAAGGGTCACATTCACCACGGCATTCAAAACAGTGGCGGCAATCTAATTTACAACTAATACAGTGTACAGTGGAAAGGTTTCGTTTTTGCTTTTACAGGGACAGTACACATTAATCAACATTACTGGAAAAGTGCCAGTTTTCATCAGCTGGCTAATTTTCATCATAGAATTTGGAATGTAACTATGAAACAGTGACAAGAAATGTTTACAAATCACTAATCTAAGTGATTTAAAAAATAAAGTATTTGCATGCTCACTGTCAAAGGATAAATTAAGTGAGCCATCTAAGAAATTCAATATAAAAAAGGCTATTGAGGATAACAATCGATGGCTGAAAGAGCATTGAGGAATGTATTTGGAATGTGTTGGGAACCCCAGCATTTCCATTCAAACCCCTCCTCCTAGTGTCTCAGGGCTCAGCAGGCTGCATACAGAAGTTGGAGAAGCAGTGTGTCCCTGTGGCTTCCAGCTCCCGAGAAAGGAGGGTGTGTGACTGAGGCATGGAGCCAGCATGGAGCCAGCTGTGCTGTGGAGCTCAGAGGAGGTAAGGGAAACCATATGTTTTATGGACAAAAATGAATGGCAACTTATTGCCATTGGGCAAACCATATACACAAAAGCAAGTAGCACCAATTTGGACGGCAGATCTTCCAAAACACATGGCATATGGCATATGCCTAATGGATGTGTAATGAACCAATAATCCTATAGATGGCGCGTATGCTCTACTATCAGAAACCACATGCTAACTTGACAGCATGTCACAACTCAAGGGTGAAATGACACATTTCAAAACCATCACATAAAGTACATTTGAAACTGTTTTTTGAAATGTTTCGAATTGTTTGTCAATTATCCATTACTAAAGAGACATATGGATATATTTTTTTCATGCAATTTTGTCCATAAGTTTCTTTTTTTAAATACAGTTGCAAACACACACAAAAAAATGTTTTTGCTTTGTCATTATGGGGTATTGTGTGTAGATTGATGTGGGGGGGAAAAAACAATTTAATCCATTTTAGAATAAGGCTGTAATGTAACACAATGTGGAAAAAGTCAAGGGGTCTGAATACTTTCCGAATGCACTGTATCAGTATGTTAAGTCCCGAATCAGCCTAGAAGGTTTATTTGACATGTTTGATCATAGGAAGTCAGAATTTTCATTTCAAAGTAGTGAATCAACGTTCCGACTGAACTGCTATGTTCTAGCACTGCGATATCGCCTAACCAATTCAGAATGTTTCAACCTGTCCTTTACGTGACTGGAAATCCCTATTAAAATATATTGACAATGGACACTATCCAATGCAGTATAACATGTTGTCACAGGCAATACATTGTATGTGTAATGGACACTTTCGATTAGCAATATATTACAAAGGGCATTTACCATCACGAATTGAACATGCTGTTACATTGCTGAAACGCCCAATTTTTGGGACTTGTTGAACTCGGGACAGACTAGCAGAGCTAGTTGTTTCTTTCCTTTGGTCGTTGGTGTTGATTTCAGCCTGTCAATTTGGTAATGGTAAATCACTGCTTAAATATATTGGAAACGGACAGTGTACATTAGACATATGCCCATCTTAATCTTTTATTTTTATTGGCCAGTCTGAGATATGGCTTTTTCTTTGCAACTCTGCCTAGAAGGTCAGCATCCCGGAGTCGCCTCTTCACTGTTGACGTTGAGACTGGTGTTTTGCGGGTACTATTTAATGAAGCTGCCAGTTGAGGACCTGTGAGGCGTCTGTTTCTCAAACTAGACACTCTAATGTATTTGTCCTCTTGCTCAGTTGTGCACCGGGGCCTCCCACTCCTCTTTCTATTCTGGTTAGAGCCAGTTTGCGCTGTTCTGTGAAGGGAGTAGTACACAGCGTTGTACGAGATCTTCAGTTTCTTGGCAATTTCTCGCATGGAATAGCCTTCATTTCTCAGAACAAGAATAGACGGACGAGTTTCAGAAGAAAGTTATTTGTTTCTGGCCATTTTGATCCTGTAATCGAACCCACAATTGCTGATGCTCCAGATACTCAGCTAGTCTCAAGAAGGCCAGTTTTATTGCTTCTTTAATAAGCACAACAGTTTTCAGCTGTGCTAAGATAATTGCAGAAGGGTTTTCTAATGATCAATTAGCCTTTTAAAATGATAAACTTGGATTAGCAAACACAACGTGCCATTGGAACACAGGACTGATGGTTGCTGATAATGGGCCTCTGTACGCCTATTTACAGTCGTGGTAAAAAGTTTTGAGAATGACACAAATACTAATTTTCACAAAGTCTGCTGCTCAGTTTTGATGATGGCAATGTGCATATACTCCAGAATGTCATGAAGAGTCCCCAGTAGCTCAGTTGGTAGAGCATTGCGCTTGCAACGCCAGGGTTGTGTGTTCGTTTCCCATGGGGGGCCAGTATGAAAAATGTATGCTGCTCTGGATAAGAGCGTCTGCTAAATGACTCAAATGTAAATGTAAAGAGTGATCAGATGAATTGCAAAGTCCCTCTTTGCCATGAAAATGAACTTAATCCCAAAAAAACATTTCCACTGCATTTCAGCCCTGCCACAAAAGGACCAGCTGCCATCATGTCAGTGATTCTCTCGTTAACACAGGTGAGAGTGTTGACAAGGCTGGAGATCACTCTGTCATGCTGATTGAGTTAGAATAACAGACTGGAAGTTTTAAAAGGAGGGTGGTGCTTGAAATCATTGTTCTTCCTCTGTTAACCATGTTTACCTGCAAGGAAACGTGCCGTCATCATTGCTTTGCACAAAGAGGGCTTCACAGGCAAGGATATTTCTGCTAGTAAGATTGCACCTAAATCAACCATTTATCGGATCATCAAGAACTTCAAGGAGAGAGATTCAATTGTTGTGAAGAAGGCGTCAGGGCGCCCAAAAAAGTCCAGCAAGCACCAGGACCATCTCCTAAAGTTGATTCAGCTGCAGGATCGGGGCACCACCAGTGCAGAGCTTGCTCAGGAATGGCAGCAGGCAGGTGTGAGTGCATCTGCACGCACAGTGAGGCGAAGACTTTTGGAGGATGGCCTGGTGTCAAGAAGGGCAGCAAAGAAGCCACTTCTCTCCAGGAAAAACATCAGGGACAGACTGATATTCTGCAAAAGGTACAGGGATTGGACTGCTGAGGACTTGGGTAAAGTCATTTTCTCTGATGAATTGCAGTATAACATGTTGACACTGGCAATATATTATATGTGTAATGGACACTGTCCATTAGCAATATATTACAATGGGAATTTACCGCCACAAATTGGACATGCTGCTACATTGCTGAAAGGCCCGATTGTCTGGCTTGTTGAACTCGGGACGGCCTAGCAGTGATAGTGGTTCCTCTCTCTCGCTCCTTGGTGTTGATTTCAGCCTGTCAATTTGGTGATAGTAAATCACTGCTTAAATATACTGGACATATGATATACAGTTGAAGTCGGAAGTTTACATACACTTTGGTTGGAGTCATTAAAACTCGTTTTTCAACCACTCCACAAATTTCTTGTTAACAAACTATAGTTTTGGCAAGACGGTTAGGACATCTACTTTGTGCATGACACAAGTAATTTTTCCAACAATTGTTTACAGACAGGTTATTTCACTTATAATTCACTGTATCACAATTCCAGTGGGTCAGAAGTTTACATACACTAAGTTGACTGTGCCTTTAAACAGCTTGGAAATTTCCAGAAAATGATGTCATACCTTTAGAAGCTTCTGATAGGCTAATTGACATTATTTGAGTCAATTGGAGGTGTACCTGTGGATGTATTTCAAGGCCTACCTTCAAACGCAGTGCCTCTTTGCTTGACATCATGGCAAAATCAAAAGAAATCAGCCAAGACCTCAGAAGAAAAATATTGTATACCTCCACAAGTCTGGTTCATCCTTGGGCGCAATTTCCAAACGCCTGAAGGTACCACGTTCATCTGTACAAACAATAGTACGCAAGTATAAACACCATGGGACCACGCAGCCGTCATACCGCTCAGGAAGGAGACGGGTGCTGTCTCCTAGAGATGAACGTACTTTGGTGTGAAAAGTGCAAATCAATTCCAGAACAACAGCAAAGGACCTTGTGAATATGCTGGAGGAAACAGGTACAAAAGTATCTATATCCACAATAAAACGAGTCCTATATCGACATAACCTGAAAGGCAAGGAAGAAGCCACTGCTCCAAAACCACCATAAAAAAGCCAGGCTAACGTTTGCAACTGCACATGGGGACAAAGATCGTACTTTTTGGTCTGATGAAACAAAAATAGAACTGTTTGGCCATAATGACCATCGTTATGTTTAGAGGAAAAAGGGGTCGGCTTGCAAGCCGAAGAACACCATCCCAACCGTGAAGCACGGGGGTGGCAGCATCATGCTGTGGGGGTGCTTTGCTGCAGGAGGGACTGGTGCACTTCACAAAATAGATGGCATCATGAGGAAGGAAAATTTTGTGGATATATTGAAGCAACATCTCAAGACATCAGTCAGGAAGTTAAAGCTTGGTCGCAAATGGGTCTTCCAAATGGACAATGACCCCAAGCATACTTCCAAAGTTGTGGAAAAATGGCTTAAGGATAAGAAAATCAAGGTATTGGAGTGGCCATCACAAAGCCCTGACCTCAGTCCTATAGAACATTTGTGGGCAGAACTGAAAAAGCGTGTGCGAGCAAGGAGGCCTACAAACCTGACTCAGTTACACCAGCTCTGTCAGGAGGACTGGGCCAACATTCACCCAACTTATTGTGTGACGGTTGTGGAAGGCTACCTGAAACGTTTGACCCAAGTTAAACAATTTAAAGGCAATGCTACCAAATACTAATTGAGTGTATGTAAACTTCTGACCCACTGGGAATGTAATGAAAGAAATACAAGCTGAAATAAATAATTCTCTCTACTATTATTCTGACATTTCACATTATTAAAATAAAGTGGTGATCCTAACTGACCTAAGACAGGGAATTTTTTACTAGGATTAAATGTCAGTATTTGTGAAAAACTGAGTTTAAATATGTTTGGCTAAAGTGTACAGTTGAAGTCGGAAGTTTACATACACCTTAGCCAAATACATCTTTACAAGGTCCTTTGCTGTTGTTCTGGGATTGATTTGCACTTTTCGCATCAAAGTACGTTCATCTCTAGGAGACAGATCTCGTCTCCTTCCTGAGCGGTATGACGGCCATGTGGTCCCATGGTGTTTATACTTGCATACTATTGTTTGTACAGATGAACGTGGTACCTTCAGGCGTTTGGAAATTGCTCCCAAGGATGAACCAGACTTGTGGAGGTATACAATCTTGGCTGATTTCTTTTAATTTTCCCATGATGTCAAACAAAGAGGCACTGAGTTTGAAGGTAGGCCTTGAAATACATCCACAGGTACACCTCCAATTGACTCAAATTATGTCAATTAGCCTATCAGAAGCTTCTAAAGCCATGACATCATTTTCTGGATTTTTCCAAGCTGTTTAAAGGCACAGTCAACTTAGTGTATGTAAACTTCTGACCCACTGGAATTTTGATACAGTGAATTATAAGTGAAATAATCTTTCTGTAAACAATTGTTGGAAAAATTACTTGTGTCATGCACAAAGTAGATGTCCTAACTGACTTGCCAAAACTATAGTTTGTTAACAATAAATTTGTGGAGTGGTTGAAAAACAAGTTTTAATGACTCCAAACTAAGTGTATATAAACTTCCGACTTCAACTGTATGTAAACTTCCAACTTGTCAGTGTCAACATTTCATACTGCAAATGTTGGCAATATATCATATGTCTAATGTACACTGACCATTAGCCTATATTACAATGGGCATTTACCATCACGAATTGGACATGCAGTTAAAGGGCTTAGACTAATAACTGGGACCCCGTACTGTACAAATACAATTCAAATGTGCTGTCCTTTGACTGTTTATGATGATTTTAAGCAATGAGATGGCTGACTTGATGGCTGTCCATTTGCAATATGGTACATTGGCATTGGCCATATGATATATTGCAAGTTCACACTTCCCTGTTAAGATATGAAGGGGATCGAGTACTCTCATCATATCGATATCTGGAGGAGTACCAGTGGCCCTGAATGCGTGGCAAAAATGTATTTGCAAATTGCATGCACGGAAGCAGAGTTAAGAGCATAACCTGTAAACCAATGTTATCCTATTGGAGAAATTTGGATGTGTCAAACTACATGAACCGCCGTAAGCAGCTAGAATAACTCTGTGGCTGGTCCACATCCACCTCCCCCGATGACCCCTATCAAAAACGGCATGGCTCTGCATGACCCAGAGGCCACAATATGTCAAAAGCATGTTGAAATCACGACTAGTCAGGCTTCATTCCAGCCTACTGGTTTGCAAGGTCGCTGCGGTCAGACTGAGCGAGCTCCAGTCAAGTGGAGCAGCTCGTTGAACTCGGAACGGCCTAGAGACTATAGTGATGCCGTTCGTTTGCCATTCAGTATTAATTTTAGCCTGATCCCTGCTTAAATATATTGGAAATGGACAGTGTCCATTTGCAATATAAAATATGGACAATGCCATTTACCATACTACAATTGGACAGTCAGCCATCAAGTCAGCCATCAGTCAATAGGATATCACTGACGCCAAACTGATACATACTGACATCAAGCTGACTTTGTCCAACTCGTTTAGAGGCCAACTATCACATATGTCAGAGCCGGGCCGAAATGTATAGCGCCTTCTGTTTAAACCTTAAAAAACCTCAGCTCTCCCAACCTAACACAACATCAGTAAAGAGAAGAGTCCAGTTAACATCGCCCTATGGAGGCCCTGGTAGAGTCTTACAGACTAGAGTTCCACTCTGAGACTCTGGACCATGTTGTTCTATATTAATGTTATAATTGTCATGGACAGTAATGACAATAGGAAAATGTCTTCTTTATCTTCTGCTTATTCAGGAATTTTTTTAAGTCTTGCTGTGATTGAGACTGTTAATTTCGGTTTTACTGAAGACGTTTTATAAAGCATCTGCTAAATGGCATATATTATAATATTATTATTATTAAGACAATTGTCCATGAAACTTACATTTTTGTAGTGTGATGGTATTATATAATTGACTATTTATAACCTTTATGTTTTGTGAAATATGTGTTGATTACGTTGATTATCTGTTTATTCAACTTTAACATTCCTCTATGAGGATTTTTACCCAAAATTACCAATATGTTTGTGATTGTCTCTGAAGCTGGAGACTCTTATCTCCCTCACTAACTTTAAGCATCAGTTGTCAGAGCACCTTACCGATCACTGCACCTGTACACAGCCCATCTGAAATTAGCCCACCCAACGACCTCATCCCCCATATTGTTATTCATTTGCTCATTTGTCAACCCCAGTATCTCTATTTGCACATAATTCTTGCACATCTATCATTTCCAGTGTTAATACTAATTGTAATATTTGCACTAATATCCTATTTATTGCCTTCCTCCATTACTTGCTACATTGCACACACTGTATATTTTTCTTTGTATTTTGACTTATGTTTTGTTTTAAACCCATATGTAACTTTGTTGTTGTTTTATTTCGCACTGCTTTGCTTTATCCTATTGTATTGCCTACGCTCCATAACTGCTACAGTTTGCATCGACACTGCTATAATTCAGGAGGACCACGTAAATGAGAACTTGTTCTCAACTGGCTTACCTGGTTAAATAAAGGTGAAATAAAAAAATATAAATAAATAAATGTGTCTATTGCAGATTGAAGAAAAACTTTCTCAAAACTCTTGTTCATTTTCAACATTCCAGTGTCTTTTGTAAAGACAGTAAATGTAGTCAATATCCCCATACCCCAGCCTGGAAGCCCATACTCTGTTAGAGTATGTCTTGGAGATTTTTCCAAGTTCTGTTTGTGATGTTTAATCACTTTGCACAGCGTCTCATTGAGACAATTTTAATACATTCAAAAACAATCAAATGAAATACTTTTTTTTCTTGTTCTTTATTTACTTTTTCTCATCTTTACTATGATAGCCTACATTTCAGCTCAATAATTGTGTTGGTGTAGGCCTAAACGTTAAATGCTTTTAAATTACCATTTTGTTATGAATATATTCCCATCACATCAGTATGATGTGCAGGAGGTTTATGATGATATGATATTGATTTTAGTTGCTCATCAAATGTGTGCCAAATAGTTTCGTCTTTTCACAAATGTTCACCTATGTGTATGTATGTAGGTTTACAGAAAATATCACAGAAGACCAGAGATTTCCTACAACAATATCACAGAAGTCCAGGGCCATGTTCAGTTGCCAAACGTTTTCGAACGTTGCAGATAGAAATTCCACGAATAGAGCCGATGTGATTCCTTATTCTACATGTCAGAGACCCTCTGAACATTCCAAAACGTTGCGTTCTACTGAACGCCCCAGAGATTTTTCCATTTGTTCCGTACCTGAACGTCATTGCGCAACACAAGATGGCGGCGGAAAGTGAGAGAGTGGACAGGAGTAGTCACAGCATGGATAAAAGCATAACTCTTCCACCCGATGAGATCTTCAGGAATTTGGAAAATGCAAAGAGGTTCGCAATAGACATAGGTATACGCTAAGTTATATATTCGTATCGCTACTTGAATGTATTCACTTGGCTTCTTACTTTGACAACACTGCAGCCACGCACGAGAGGCTAGCAAGCAACGACGTGTTGTCTGGCTGGCTTGTTAGCTTATTTAAGTAGTTAGCGACCGGTAGCTGGGAAGTTACCGTCGCGCCACTGACTTGCCACATAAATGTTAGCTGGCTAATTAGCGTTTGTTTATGTGCTAGATAGCTGCAGGTTTCTCAAATGGCAAGCTAGCTAAGCCAGCTAATTTGACCGCTGAGTTGTCGATAGTCGACTGACGCAATTATCTATCTCACGTGAGCACAAACCTTTTTTTCTCCCACACAGGTGGATCTCTGACGAAACTCGCCTATTACTCCACTGTTCAACACAAAGTAGCGAAAGTACGGTCATTCGACCATACTGCAAAGGTATGTGGTGTCAATAAACGTTGGAAAACTGTCAGTAACTAACGTTAGCTACATAAGAGCTTGCGTCCAACGTGTATTGTACTATTTAAGCCATTTACTCGGCAACAATAACATCAAATGTCAGTGTTCCATTGAGGGGCTAAAGTGATTTGCTGCCCAAGTGCACTGCTATGCAGTGTTATTACAATGTTTAGGCCTGGAGGACTCCTGCCAGAAGAGTTGGGCTTATCTCTCAGCACACTGAACTGTTTCTTGTCTCAGGTCTCCAATGGGCCAACCTGATAAGTGTGTGAATGTAGCTACGGAAAAGTAAACAAATTAAGCTTGTATTAGTTAGAGAGTAGCCAATATGTGATTGCTTGAGTGTGGGGGTTGTGGTAGACATATAGGCTACTGATTCATGATGTAGGGCTTCAAAAAGGTGTGTACCTTGGGACAGTGAATGTGTAGACATACAGGTCTTACTGAGCCCACTCAGGTTGCCCTGGTGGTCTCGGGTCTGCAGTGCTGGCCTGGTTCTTTATCTGTGTGTCCCTCTTTACCAGGACACTGAGGATGACCCCCTCTATGAGATCTCTATGCAGGAGGAGATCTTGGCTCGCCTTCACTTCATCAAGTTTGAAAATGCCTACATCGAAACCTGCCTGGACTTTATCAAAGACCACCTGGTCAACACTGACACCAAAGTCATCAAAGCCACCGGTGGAGGGGCTCACAAGTTCAAAGATCTCATAGAGAAGAAACTGAAGCTCAGGTGAGAAAGGAATATATTGTTTTGAGGTATTTTGTTAAAATCTAAAACAGCTTTATTTTTAAAGACATCTTGACCAGTATAAGGTTGTGCTTATTATAATGTAGCTGCTCTTCATGTTTTGACTAGGGTGGACAAGGAGGATGAAATGACATGCCTGATCAAGGGCTGCAACTTTGTGCTGAGGAACATCCCCCATGAGGCTTTTGTCTATGCCAAGCATGCAGACTCTGAGTTCCGCTTCCAGAACACTCACCCTGACATCTTCCCTTACCTGCTCATCAACATCGGCTCAGGGGTGTCCATCATCAAGGTACCAATGCCTGACACAAATCCAGATCTGGTGTGACATGTGGCCTATGTACCAATTCATTCAACAAACAATATTTCTCTCCAAACAGGTGGAATCGGAGGATACATTTGAGCGTGTTGGAGGAAGCTCCATAGGTGGGGGTACATTCTGGGGCCTTGGAGCTCTGCTCACAAAAACAAAGGTAAAACCCCTCCTCACCCCTATGCTGACACTTCACGCAATAGGCTTTTTAAATAGTCAGGTTACCAAATTAACTGAAATGTATATTCTTATTTTCTGTTGGTTCTTGACAAATATCTTTCCAGTTGACATTACTGCAACTTTCATTTTTATTATCTGGAGGAATGCCCTCTGTACTTACAAGCTCTCGTTCTGATTAGGGTTCAGGGGTTTTTCTGCATAGAAAAGTATTGGACTGGCCGCCTATGTCCAAACAGCATGACCATTATATAGGTGCACCTTGTGCTGGGGACAATAAAAGGCCACTCTAAAATGTACAGTTTTGTCACACAGCACAATGCCACATATGTCTCAACTTTTGAAGGACTGTGCAATTGGCAGGAATGTCCACCAGAGCTGTTGCCAGATAATTGAATGTTCATTTCTCTACCATAAGCAGCCTCAATGTCGTTTTAGAATTTGGCCGTACGTCCTCCCGGCCTCACAACCGCAGACCACGTGTTACCAGACCAGCCCAGGACCTCCACATCAGGCTTCTTCACTTGTCTGAGACCAGCCACCTGGACAGCTGATGAAACTGTGGGCTTGCACAACCGAATAATTTCTGCTCAAACTGTCTCATCTGTGTGCTCATCATTCTCACCAGGGTCTTGACCTGACTGCAGTTTCGCATCATAAACGACTTCAGTGGGAAAATGTTCACCTTCGATGGCCACTGGCACGATGGAGAAGTTTCTTCACGGATTAATCACTATTTCAACTGTGCCGGGAAGATGACTGACAGCGTGTATGGCATCGTGTGGGCGAGCGGTTTGCTGATGTCAATATTGTGAACAGTGTCCCATGGTGGCGGTGGGGTTATGGTATGGGCAGGCATAAGCTACGAACACAATTTTATTTTATTGATGGCAATTTGAATGCACAGAGATAACGTAATGAGGGGTCCCATGTGACTCAGTTGGTAGAGCATGGCGCTTGCAATGCCAGGGTTGTGGGTTTGATTCCCACGGGGGACCAGTAAGGAGAGAAAAAGTATAAAATGTATGCACTCACTACTGTAAGTCGCTCTGGATATGAGCTTCTGCTAAATGACTAAAATGTGATGAGATGCTGAGGCCCATTGTCGTGCCATTCATCCGCCGCCATCACCTCATGTTTCAGCATGAAGGTGCATGGCCCCGTGCCGCAAGGATCTGTACACAATTCCTGGAAGCTGAAAATGTCCCAGTTCATCCATGGCCTGCATACTAACCAGATATGTTACCTATTGGGCATGTTTGGGATGCTCTGGATCGACGTGTACGACAGCGTGTTCCAGTTCCCACCAACATCCAGCAACTTCGCACAGCCATTGAAGAGGAGTGGGTCAACATTCCGCAGGCCACACTCAATAGCCTGATCATCTCTATGCGAAGGAGATGTCACGCTGCATGAGGCAAATGGTCACCAGGAAATAAAATTAACGCCTGCCAAATGCGGGTAGATTTAGGTATTGGCGGGTAAGAATGTCTATTTCACCAGCCACGTTGGCGGGTGGTCAATTTGCTTGGCTCTACAGTGCGAGCATTACATTTGTGGATAAAAATAGTCAAAAGTCAAGTATATAATCACGTTACAAAAATGCTGCAGTAGCTGTTTTCAAAGTATTTTTGCTGCTTTGTTTCATAGCTGCTAATTGCACAAATAAATATTAATCCTATATCCCACCTTGCGCAGCAAGACTGCCTGGCAGTAAAGTGCAGATACTGTAGATGCAATTTTGGAGGCGCTGAGCACAGGCATAAAAATTGTTCTAATTTACTCAAGTCTACAAAGTGAGACTTTGTCCCCTTGTTTCTTGTCTATTTACATTGTTTTGTTCACAAGCTCGGTTGTTTTTCAACTTTAGTTTGAGTCTGCTGCTTCAATTAATAGTCAGATCCCAAATCTCACACAGACACGTGACAGGACTTGAGTGGCCCCATTACCACGGTAATCTCCTGGCCTTAAAGGGGCAGCTGAACATTTTATCTCTGCTATTTTGATTAAAAGACTTGGGTCACAAAAAATTAAATTAAATTAAAAAACATACCACATTATATTTTCTTTTTTTTAGGAACATTACAAAGCATGGTCATCATAATATTTAAAAAAATCTGTGACCAACAGATGCATATCTGTATTCCCAGTCATATAAATCCATAGATTAGGGCCTAATGAATTGATTTCAATTGACTGATTTCCTTATAGGAACTGTAACAGTAAAATCTTTGAAATTGTTGCATTAATATTTTTGTTCAGTGTGTGTATATATATATATATATATATATATATATATATATATATATATATATATATATATATATATATAAATAATAATATTTTTGAACATTTTAGGGAAGGAAAAATGTTTTCAGTGTAAACTTAAACAAGATATAAAGTATGTAGAAATGATAATGGACCTATATATTTTTAATTAAGATCATCTTTGAGAACTAATAATCACCAAAAATAAAAGGTAGACAGTCAGGGAGAAAGAATTGTATTATGTTTGAGTCACTCAAATAGCATAAGCCATGGCCAAATGTGTAGAATTGCAGGAAATACGTTTTGAAACAGCTAAATTAGGATAGGATGAACTTTGGAAAATTGTCTTCAACACACCGTATTGCTGTATACAAAATACACTGTACATTACACACTCAACATGTACCAAACATTTGGAACGCCTTCCTAATATTGAGTTGCACCCCCACTCCCCTTTTGCCCTCAGAACATCAATCAATCAAATGTATTTATAAAGCCCTTTTTACATCTGCAGATGTCACAAAGTGCTTGTACAGAAAGCCAGCCTAAAACCCCAAACAGCAAACAATGCAGATGTAGAAGCACAGTGGCTAGGAAAAACTCCCTAGAAAGGCAGGAACCTAGGAAGAAACCTAGAGAGGAACCAGGCTCTGAGGGGGGGGGTGGGCAGTCCTCTTCTGGCAGTGCCGGGTGGAGATTATAAGAGTACATGGCCATTAACACCAGATCGTTCTTCAAGATGTTCATAGATGACCAGCAGGGTCAAATAATAATCACAGTGGTTGTAGAGGGTGCAACCGGTCAGCATCTCAGGAGTAAATGTCAGTTGGATTTTGATAGCCGAGCATTGAGGTCGAGACGGAGAGAGAGACAAAAAACAGCAGGTCCGGGACAAGGTAGCACGTCCGGTGAACAGGTCAGGGTTCCAAAGCCACAGGCAAAACAGCAGAAACTGGATCAGCAGCACGACCAGGTGGACTGGGGACGGGGACAGCCAGGAGTCATCAGGCTAAGTGGTCCTGAGAGAGAGAGAGAGAGAGAGAGAGAGAGAATACTTAAGTTCACACAGGACACCAGATAAGACGGGAGAATTTCACCAGACAGGACAGACTGACCCTAGCCCCCCCGGCACATAGACTATTGCAGCATAGATACTGGAGGCTGAGACAGGGGAGGTCGGGGTGACACTGGCTCTCTCCGACGATACCCCCGGACAGGGCCAACCAGGCAGGGATATAACCCCACCAACTTTGCCAAACGCTCAGTCCCCACACCACTAGAGGGATTTCAACAGACCTCCAACTTACTACCCTGAGACAAGGCTGAGTATAGCCCACAAAGATCTCCGAGACCGTGGGGGCACAAAACCGGACAGGAAAATCACGTCAGTAACTCAGCCCACTCAAGTCAAGTATTGCGGAAAAAGCCTTGAAGGGACGGCATGGAAGAGCACTAGTAAGCAAGTGACTTCGCCCTAGTAATAGGGTCAGAGGCAGAGAATCCCAGTGGAGAGAGGGGAGCCGGCCAGGCAGAGACAAAAAGGGCGGTTCATCACTCCAGTGCCTTGCCGTTCATTTTCGCACCCCTGGGCCAGACTACACTCAATCATAGGACCTACTGAAGAGATGAGTCTTCAGTAAATACTTAAGGTCTAGACCGAGTCTGCGTCTCTCACATGGATAGGCAGACCATTCCATAAAAATTGAAAGCCCTGCCTCCAGCTGTTTGCTTAGAACTTCTAGGGACAATAAGGAGGCCTGCGTCTTGTGACGGTAGCGTACGTGTAGGTATGTATGGCAGGACCAAATCGTGGAGCTAGGTAGGAGCAAGTCCAGCTAATGCTTTGTAGTTTAGCAGAAAAACCTTCAAATCAGCCCTAGCCTTAACAAGAGGCTAGCACTTGAGTAATATTATCACATTTTTTGGTTCTAATCAAGATTCTGGCAGCCGTATTTAGCACTAACTGAAGTTTATATAGTGCTTTATCCGGGTAGTGAAGCGTGATTCATCACTCCAGAGAACACGTTTCCAATGCTCCAGTTCAATGGCGGTGAGCTTTACACCACTCCAGCCGACGCTTGGCATTGCACATGCTGATGTTCGGCTTATGTGCGGCTGCTCGGCCAAGGAAACCCATTTTCATGATGCTCCCGATGAACAGTTATTGTGCTGACAGTCACTGAGCTCTTCAGTAAGGCCATTCTACTGCCAATGCTTGTCTATGGAGATTGCATGGCGGTGTGCTCGATTTTATACACCTGTCAGCAATGGGTGTGCTGACATAGCTGAATCCACTAATTTGAAGGGGTGTCCACATACTTTTGTATATACAGTTGAAGTCGGAAGCTTACATACACCTTAGCCAAATACATTTACATTACATTTTAGGCATTTAGCAGACGCTCTTATCCAGAGCGACTTACAGTTAGTGAATACATATGTTTTTTTTATTTTTTATTTTTTATACTGGCCCCCCGTGGGAAACGAACCCACAACCCTGGCGTTGCAAACGCCATGCTCTATCAACTGAGCTACATCCCTGCCGGCCATTCCCTCCCCTACACGACGCTGGGCCAATTGTGCGCCGCCCATGAGTCTCCCGGTCGCGGCCGGCTGCGACAGAGCCTGGATTCGAACCAGGATCTCTAGTGGCACAGTTAGCACTGCGATGCAGTGCCTTAGACCACTGCTCAAAAAAATAAAGGGAACACTTAAACAACACAATGTAACTCAAAGTCAATCACACTTCTGTGAAATCAAACTGTCCACTTAGGAAGCAAGACTGATTGACAATAAATTTCACATGCTGTTGTGCAAATGGAATAGACAACAGGTGGACATTATAGGCAATTAGCAAGACACCCCCAATAAAGAAGTGGTTCTGCAGGTAGTGACCACAGACCACTTCTCAGTTCCTATGCTTCCTGGCTGATGTTTTGGTCACTTTTGAATGCTGGCGGTGCTTTCACTCTAGTGGTAGCATGAGACGGAGTCTACAACCCACACAAGTGGCTCATGTAGTGCAGCTCATCCAGGATGGCACATCAATGCGAGCTGTGGCAAGAAGGTTTGCTGTGTCTGTCAGCGTAGTGTCCAGAGCATGGAGGCGCTACCAGGAGACAGGCCAGTACATCAGGAGACGTGGAGGAGGCCGTAGGAGGGCAACAACCTGGTGGAGGGTCCGTCATGGTCTGGAGTGGTGTGTCACAGCATCATCGGACTGAGCTTGTTGTCATTGCAGGCAATCTCAACGCTGTGCGTTACAGGGAAGACATCCAACTCCCTCATGTGGTACCCTTCCTGCAGGCTCATCCTGACATGACCCTCCAGCATGACAGTGCCACCAGCCATACTGCTCGTTCTGTGCGTGATTTCCTGCAAGACAGGAATGTCAGTGTTCTGACATGGCCAGCGAAGAGCCCGGATCGCAATCCCATTTAGCACGTCTGGGACCTGTTGGATCTGAGGGTGAGGGCTAGGGCCATTTCCCCCCCCCCCCCAGAAATGTCTGGGAACTTGCAGGTGCCTTGGTGGAAGAGTGGGGTAACATCTCACAGCAAGAACTGGCAAATCTGGTGCAGTCCATGAGGAGGAGATGCACTGCAGTACTTAATGCAGCTGGTAGTCACACCAGATACTGACTGTTACTTTTGATTTTGACCCTCCCTTTGTACAGGGACACATTATTCAGTTTCTGTTAGTCACATGTCTGTGGAACTTGTTCAGTTTATGTCTGTTGTTGAATCTTATGTTCATACAAATATTTACACATGTTAAGTTTGAAAATAAACGCAGTTGACAGTGAGAGGACGTTTCTTTTTTTGCTGAGTTTTATAAGGTTGATTTCCAACCTATGAACACAATCATCAATATCAATGGAGCCAATCACATTATCACACTCGACAGAGAAGACCTTTAGGTGCCTTTTGGCAAACTCCAAGCAGGCTGGTGTGCCTTTTGCTGAGGAGTGGCTTCCGTCTGGCCACTACCATAAAGGCCTGATTGGTGGAGTGCTGCAGAGATGGTTGTCCTTCTGGAAGATTCTCCCATCTCCACAGAGGAACTCTGGAGCTCTGTCAGAGGGACCATCGGGTTCTTGGTCACCTCCCTGACCAAGGCCCTTCTCCCCTGATTGCTCAGTTTGGCCGGGTGGCCAGCTCTAGGAAGAGTCTTGGTGGTTCCAAACTTCTTCCATTTAAGAATGATGGAGGCCACTGTGTTCTTGGGTACCTTCAATGCTGCAGAAATGTTTTGGTACCCTTCCCCAGATCTGTGCCTCGACACAATCCTGTCACGGAGCTCTACGGACAATTCTTTCGACCTCATGGCATGGTCTTTGCTCTGACATGCACTGTCAACTGTGGGAACCTTACATAGACAGGTGTGTGCCTTTCCAAATCATGTCCAATCAATTTAAATTACCACAGATGGACTCCAATCAAGTTATATTAACATCTCAAGGATGATCAATTGTAACAGGATTGCACCTGAGCTTAATTTCGAGTCTCATAGCAAAGGGTCTGAATACTTATGTAAATAAGATATTTCAGTGTTTTATTTTCTATACATTTGCAAAACAATGTAACAAAAAAAACTTCGTATTGTGTATAGATTGAGGAAAACATTTCATTTAATAAATGTTTGAATAAGGCTGTAATATAACTGTGGAAAAAGTCAAGAGGTCTGAATACTTTCCAAATGCACTGTACAATCTTGCGTAAAAAAAACATTTAATTAATTTGCTTTGGTCAGCTCATCTGGTGTGTACAAGGATTTTTTTGCAGGGTTCATGTTGGTGATTGTGTCAATAGGAGGGCCAACAGGAGGGCCTCTAAAACTTTCAGTTGGCAACTGCACCACTGGTCACGCCAATCACCTAAGCCCATTTTGATCCAGAAAAAAACATGGGGATGTTACAAATAGCTAGGCTATCTGGGTGAAAGTGCTGTTTTTAAAACTACTGTATTCCTATGTCCTCCTGCTCTCACCTAGAGATTTGATGAACTACTTCAGTTGGCCTCGAAGGGGCAGCACACAAGCGTTGACATGCTTGTCAAAGACATCTACGGGGGATCTTATGGGTCCTTGGGCTTGACTGGGGACCTTATAGCAAGCAGCTTTGGAAAATCTGCTACTGCTGACAAAGGTAAAGAGAGAACAGAGCCCTTGCAGTACGTTTATTCTTTGGCACCATAACCTGTTTTTCATTGCACTGTCTTCAGGAGTGGACTCCCTGGCATGCGAGCTACCAGTGGAGGCTGGTGGGAGGAGCTATAGGAGGATGGGCTCATTGTAGTTGCTGAAATAGATTTAATGGAACGGAGTCAAACGTGGTTTCCATATGTTCGATGCGTTTGATACGTTCCATTTATTGTATTCCATTCCAGCCATTACAAGGAGCCCATCCTCCTATAGCGCCTCCCACCAGCCTCCACTGCTAAATACTGTAATGTAGGCTACATTCCTGTTGAGCACTAACTGATTGATTGACCTCTTACCCAGTTGCTGTGGCCTTGTCCCCTCTAGGCTGTGTGGTTACTGTTACTGTTGAGAAATAGATGAGGCAGACAGCCATGGAGGCAAAGCAAGCCACTCATTCACTCACTCTATTAGATCGTTTATGTTTTTAATGTAGTGCGAAATAATACCTGACACTAACTGTCAATACATAAACCAACACTTTACTTACTTACTTCAATGGGATCTGGGCTTGTTGTCTAGAGTGACTCCATGTTTCTGGAGCTTCACTTGGCAGTATGTTGACTTTTGTTTCCTCCTGAATCAGAGTTCTCTAAAGAAGACATGGCTAAGAGCCTGCTCCATATGATCAGCAATGACATTGGGCAGCTGGCCTGCCTCTATGCCCGGCTCCACAACTTGACCAGGGTCTACTTTGGGGGCTTCTTCATCCGAGGACACCCTGTCACTATGCACACCATCACTTACAGTATCAACTTCTTCACCAAGGCAAGCCCCCCCACCAATGTACCTCCTTAGCAAGCATTTCTTTCTCAATCCATGTTTTGCTCTCAGGTACATTTGATTGAGCTCAATATTTACCCCTGACAGAGCTGGATCTGATGTCAGCTGACTAAAATCAGGGATATGTCCCTTGGGCCTAGTTCAGAGCTTGAAAACCAGCAATCAAATCTGCCTTGCAGTATTTACACAGTAGCATGGAAATATACCCTTTTTCCTGAGTTCAAATGTATTCAGAATGTTTTTGGGTGCTGTTACACAGCAGGTAGACTCCAGTCACCTCACAGGTAAATTATTTCAATTTTCAGATGGAGACATTTGTGTGGGCAGTTAAAATATAACACATAAACATTGATATGACAGTTTGATTATATTGTGCCCATAGGCTACTTTTAAATGATACAATTTGTAAGTATAATGAGAGTTTATTCCTTCTGACTGGATATGTATATTGTGTTTTTGCAGGGTGAAGTCCAGGCGCTCTTCCTGAGGCATGAAGGCTATCTGGGGACTATTGGTGCCTTTCTCAAGGGAGCAGAGGAAGACAGTAAGTGGAGATGCTTTCAAATGTTTTCCTCTATGGAATTTCTTCATGACAGAAAGTGGCACAGGCAGCCATGGCTTATTACACTCTAGGTTTGGTAAGCATTTTCCTGTTGATGGGAAGTTCTTTCTTTTGAGGCATTGTCTCCCGAGTGGCGCAGTGGTCTAAGGCACTTCATCGCAGTGCTAGCTGTGCCACTAGAGATCCTGGTTCAAATCCAGGCTCTGTCGTAGCCGGCCGCGACCGGGAGACCCATGGGGCGGCGCACAATTTGCCCAGCGTCGTCCAGGGTAGGGGAGGGAATGGCCGGCAGGGATGTAGCTCAGTTGGTAGAGCATGGCGTTTGCAACGCCAGAGTTGTGGGTTCGATTCCCACGGGGGGGCCAGTATAAGAAAAAACGATATATGCACTCACTAACTGTAAGTCGCTCTGGATAAGAGCGTCTGCTAAATGACTTAAATGTAAAATGAGTCTTATTCACTGTTATTATAATTGTCACTTGATCTAGATCCTAACCAGTACAGTTGGGGGGAGAACTATGCTGGGAGCTCTGGCCTGATGAGTACCTCTCCAGACCTGAACCCCATGCAACGTGCACGCAGTGGAACTGTAAGTCCTTTGGAGAAGAAAATATGAAAATATTTAAGGTCAGCTTTTGACCACTAGGGTGCGCTCATAACCCACTTGTTGCAATTTAATTTAGGTGACATTTCATTCACCATTTGAGCTATTTCCCCCACACCTCCCTATTTTATCTGATTTCTGAGATAATTGTGTATATGATGTTTTCTGTGGAAATGTCACCACCGCTGTCCTTTTAAAATCCACAGGCCTGGTGTGACATCCTTCATTTATCATTTCAATCTAACATTTGGTTGTTTTCATCTCTTCTCTTCATATCCACCATCTCTTACCTCTGTTTACCTACTGTAACCCTTTCCTTCAGTTTCCCGTAAGTACTTCCCCATGCTCTCTGTGTAGTGGTTTGATTTGGGCTATATATTTCCTCATGTTTCTGGCTTTGTATCTCTACACCTGCCCCAACATTCACATTGGGTTAAATAAGGTTTCAGGGAGACAGTTGTGGCATTAACTGCTATATGCCAGCCTTTTACTTTCACATCGTATTACTTAAGATCCTTTGAAGTGTTGCTTTAGGTAGTCACTGTTTTGAATTGTGTTGTAACGTGTTATAACCAACCTTCTACTTACCTGTGACACTGGAGAATAGTAATCAGGTCTGTTCACCTTAAACATTGTGCTTGATAGCATTCTCACGGCACTGACTGGTGTGAGGAGTCAGTATAGGCTACTTCTAAACTTTGATACTTTGGTGTGTGTGTCTACTGCACAAGCAGTGTACTTGTCCCTGAATGATATGGAGCTTGACACATGCTATTGTCAGCTCAGCTCACTGACCACTAGGTGGTGTATTGAAAACAGATATTGGCATTTTGCGATGTTTGAAGGAGTCGGGTCGCTTTGGTTTCACTTTGATATGTGCATGAGTGCGTTAGCCCAGCACTATGTACAGTGCTTAGTGTGTCTCCTGTCCGGCTCCAGTTTGACATGTTGGAGATGGACCGTCTGGAGAGGCAGCTGGTGAACCTGCCCCTGCTGCAGGACCCTTCCTCCTACATCCCAGACACAGTGGACCTCTCAGAGGACGCCCTCGCACGGGAGTACTGGCTCTACTGCTTTGAGGAGGCCCTGGATGGGGTAAGAGGCAGAGCATCTTCCACTTGTCTACTCATCAAAACACACATTGCATTCATTGACACAGCGAGTCTTCATCCTTGTTGCTTTTAAAATTGCTGATCTGGGTGATGTGCTTCGGACAGGTAGTAAAGAGAGCTGTGGCCAGCCAGCCTGATCTTCCAGAGGCTGCTGAACGAGCAGAGAAGTTCCGGCACAAGTACCTGCATAAGCTGCAGACCCTCCGCCACCAGCCTTTGTAAGGGGAGCCCCAGCATCTAAATGCCACAGCTGCAGATCGTTTTCAAAGGCTGTAGACTACTAGAGCTGTTTCTTGATCATTTATGTAGATGCATATCTCTGAAGGCCTCCTAGTAGTGGATGAGATTGACTCTTGTACATGATGAAGTCTCACTGTTCCCTCTGCAATCTGTATGTGTTTCTGTCTGCTAATGTAGAGTACTTCTCTTCTCACCTCTAGTGCTTATGGATCCCTCACTGTCAGAAGTCTGTTAGACACAAGAGAACACTGTTTAAACGAGTTCAACTTCCCTGACCCCTACTCTAAGGTTTGACTGGATTCTATAGCTCTTTTCTATAGCTCTCTTTTTCTCTGTTCACGGTTCTCAATAGTGCTTCTCTTTTTCTGGTCTTGATTTACCTTAAAGGCTGAGTCATCTGATGATGAAGCTTACATGTGTGGTCTTGGGTGCATTTTAATGTCGTTTCATGTCCACTTGCCTTGATTAGTGTCTGTGTCTTTATATGATTTGCTAATGTGGTAGATTAGCTGTGAGAAGTGGGAGGAGGCTTCTGTGTCTCAGTTTTGTCTTCATCTCTCCCACAGATCAAGCAGAGGGAGAACGACATGGCCCTCAAGTACTTCCAGAAGGCAGTCAAATCCCTGGAGGAGCTGAGCTGGGAGCAGAGGCAGTTTGCCCTGGTCAGGGGCCTCCTGGCTGGGAATGTCTTCGACTGGGGAGCCAAGGCTGTTTCAGAGTGAGTCTTAATGAGTCTGTACTCCTAAAGTTTGGACTATGAAGGATTATTATGACAAAAATTCTGGCTATATATATATTTCTTTCTTTCTTTTCTTGAGAATACATGGCAATTTTGGATGAACAAAGACTGTCGCTCATGCTCACATTTTCACTTAGTGTTCTGGAGTCTGATCCGGAGTTTGGCTTTGAACAGGCGAAACGGCAGTTGGAAGGTATGAAAGCCCTTGTTGACTGGGAAAACATTTGGATAGCTGTTTAAATGGATCCAACATTTTATACTGCTGCTGTAACCTATGTAGGCTACATAATGACAGTCCCATTTTCTCCATAGAGCGGCCGTGGCTTGTCGATGCCTATGACCAATGGCTCGAGAGACTGAAGGTAAGAATTGAAACTATGTTTCCTGAAGTTAGTGTTTCAATTTTGTGATTATATTAGCTGTATTCTGATTATGGACCACATCCTAACTTCAGGTCCACAGAAGTTCTATGCCTGGATCTCAATTTAGGATTTGTCCCAAAGATGTGTATGACTTGATGCTTTGGAACAGTAATTGAATACCATGCCTACTGGCTTTCTTTTGCAGGGCCCACCTCATAAGTGTGCATTATTTTTCGTAGATAATAGTGGAATAGACATCATACTGGGAGTGTTCCCATTTGTCAGAGAGCTTCTCTGCAGGGGAACAGAGGTAAGGAACCACACCTTCCGTCCCCTAATATCTTGAAATGCTGTCACCTTCACCACCCCTTCAAATACACACTGCGTTTAATAAAACAAGATGACCGCAGCCAGATTAAATTTGTTCCACTTTATGATATTTTCGGTCTTTGACACCCTGCGTTTGCTGTTTTCCAGGTAGTCCTTGCCAGCAACTCAAGCCCAGCTCTGAATGATGTGACAAACAATGAGCTGCAGATATTGACTGAAAGAATAGCTGCAATGGATTCAGTCATACAGTGAGTATTTTAGCACTGCATTTGTGACTGGATTATGGATCCATGGTCCTTTTCCACCATTTCAATGTCATTTCATGTGTTTTTCAGGTCTGCTGTGAAGGAGGACAGGTTGAAGCTAGTCCAGAGTGGCTCCAGCTCTCCTTGCTTAGACTTAAGGTTTGTTTTATTTCCTATGCATTAATTATATTTCAACATAACATATCTGTGTTAACTGTTTAAAAACAACCTTACTGCAAGAATGTCCACCAGAGCTGTTGCCAGAGAATGTAATGTTAATTTCTCTACCATAAGCCACCTCCAGCGTCGTTTTAGAGAATTTCGCAGTATGTCCAACCGGCCTCACAACCGCAGACCACATGTAACCACGCCAGCCCAGACCTCCACATCAGGCTTCTTCTTCACCTGCGGGATCGTCTGAGACGAGCCACCCGGACAGCTGTTGAAACTGAGTTTGCACAACCGAACAATTTCTGCACAAACTGTCAGAAACCGTCGTCTTGCTCGTCGTCTTGACCTGACTCCAGTTTCGGCGTCGTTACCAACTTCAGTGGGCAAAGGCTCAACTTCGATGGCCGCTGGCACGCTGGAGAAGTGTGCTCTTCACAGATGAATCCCGGTTTCAACAGTACCGGGCAGATGGTGTCGTGTGGGTGAGCAGTTTGCTGATAACATTATGAACAGAGTGCCCAATGGTGGCAGTGGGGTTATGGTATGGGCAGGCATAAGCTACGGACAACAAACACAATTGCATTTTATTGATGGCAATTTGAATGCACAGAGATACCGAGATGAGATCCTGAGGCCCATTGTCGTGTCATTCATCCGCCGCAATCACCTCATGTTTCAGCATGATAATGCACGGCCCCATGTCGCAAGGATCTGTACACAATTCCTGGAAGCTGAAAATGTCAGTTTTTCCATGGCCTGCACACTCACCAGACACGTCACCCATTGAGCATGTTTGGGATGCTCTGGATCGACATGTATGACAGCGTGTTCCAGTTCCCACCTATATCCAGCAACTTCGCACAGCCATTGAAGAGGAGTGGGACAACATTCCACAGGCCACAATCAATAGCCTGATAAACTCTATGTGAAGGAGATGTCGTGCTGCATGAGGCAAATGGTGGTCACACCAGATACTGACTGGTTTTCTGATCCACGCACCTACCTTTTTTAAAGATATCTGTGGCCAACAGATGCATATCTGTATATTCCCAGTCATGTGAAATCCATAGATTAGGGTCTAATGTATTTCAATTGACTGATTTCCTTATATGAACTGTAACTCAGTAAAATCTTTGCAATTGTTGCATGTTACATTTATATTTTTGTTCAGTGTAGTTTCTTAAGTAATTTATTATAATTTACATGTTTAAGGTTATTCTTGTAAATGTGTTAATTTCTCTCTCCACCTCAGCCGTCTGGACAAGGTGTTGGCTGGGGTTGTGCGGGAGCGCCACACAGACCTGGTGATCATCGAAGGTATGGGCCGGGCCATCCACACCAACTACTACGCCATGTTGAGCTGTGAGAGCCTCAAGATGGCCGTCATCAAGAACTCCTGGCTGGCTGACCGGCTAGGAGGCAAGCTATTCAGTGTGGTCTTCAAATATGAGGTGCCACCAGGCCACAAACCCACCACCCTGGATCATGTTCCAGTGACGCCTTCATGATCTCATCACTCTCCTTTTTAAGTCTGAATATGGGACAGGTTGAACTGTTTCAGGTACTAGTTGGAGAGGTCCAGCTAGCTGTAATGGGGTTGATTTGACCGACTCATGATTGACATGCTGATTGTACAGGGAGGAGTTTTTTAAGATCAGTTATCAGTGGGCTTGGATTAATTTGGAAACTTGGTGGCCTATTTTAGCAAGGATGTCAAAGCAGGGTAGAGTATAACATTGCTTAGGAACATCAATATGTAAATGTATTTTTTGAATATACAACCATACATTGCACCATGTTATGTGTTCTTGCAGATCACAGCCTAAATTCTAGTTATGGTATCAGAACAAACAAACTTGTCAGTGGTAGAGGTGTGCTCTTTGCAGATTGACTGTCAATGCAAGTGAGATCCTCTACTGACTGCATGTATAGACAGATTATCAGTACCCTGCTGGTTACTCACAGCATCCTAATGGTTACCATGACAACAAGGTGCCCCTTTCAGTGGTGAAGAGATACTTTGCGTGTGCTGTGCTACCAGGGTAATTATAGCAATCTGTGGTGAATCTTCACAAATATATGGTAGATGTGCCTTGAGGTGGGAGTGATAAAAAGCATAGCTCATTCAAAATGCAACCAACCTGGTTTAATTTCTAGTGCAGGAGAAACATGGATGTTTGTTACCAGGGGCTACATGAAAGTGGCTTTTCTTTGAGTTCATGTTCTGTCTTCCTTTTGAATCCCAAGATTTTCCTCCTTTCATCACTGCCACTAGGTCAATTGATATGATTACCTTAATCGTGTGACGATCATTGCCTGAGAAGCTAAAATGTTGCTTCAGGGAATTTGTTTGGCACTTTTTATTGAGGGGTTAAAAATGAAATTACTGAAGGTGGCAGTATTTTCATGTGAAAAAGAGCTCCTAACAACCAAATTAATGATAAGTATATTTTGTTTGTTATTCATTGGATGTTCTGAAAGAGAATTGTCAAAATCGAAAAGTGTATTTAAGGTAATTTTATTGCTCATTTTTAAGCTATCTTTTTTATCATTAACATTCTTTTGGCAGCCTTGGTAAATTCAAGGAGTTTGTTTGGGTTGCTGTCCAAATGTTTCCATGACTTTATTTACATAACCTGTGGACTGATATTCTGTATTATCATGTGTATATACATGTGAAATAAGTGTAAATATAATTCATTTGCATTACTTATGAGTTCAGGATGCACAGACATTTAGGGAAAGTATTGTTCTCTTTACAATCACTTGTAATTAAATGTGAATTTATTTTAATGTAATTAAATTTCTCTTTGTATTTCTTGATTTTGGAGGGCGGTACTTCTGGAATTTTAGGGAGTTGAGAGGTGGATAACTGCTAGGATGCGAGGGAATACAACGCGCTGCTCTAGCATCATCAAAGCGCTTTTAGTGCCGGTGGCGCTATGTGAGAATGGAGTGCGGGTGTGTGTGGCACAGTAGCTGCTCGTCGTGCGCTCTTGCTAGGGAGTCATGCTGATAATGCACGGTGCCAAGCAGGGGGTACTCCACAACATGCTGTGCCTCTGCTTCTTCATTACCCCCTGCTACCACATGAACGGATGCCAGTTATTACATTCTACAATATTCTTACACAAGAAGAAACCCTATTCTGTATAGTTTTGTTTTTCTTGCGAAATTATTTCTTGACGCACACTTTGTGTACCAATTGTTTCAATGTTCAGTTCCCAATGCATGTAGGAAACTTTATGAAATAATTCACGAAGGTGATAATTGTGATCAAAGAAGGATTACATTTAGTCAGTTTCTCACTTTACCAGGCAACACTAGCGACAAATTGACGTCTCCTATCACACGCTCAGGAAAACTATTCGCATACGCCTCACCTAATGGGACAAACGCTGACATCAGTCACCGCATGAACGCGCATACGGTTACGCGCTTCCAGCCGGTGACTCTTAAAAAAACAGATCGAATCCCAACGACCAGCACACAGACCGTGAACGGAGCCTACACAGACGGAATTTGAGTCCTGTGCGCTTTATCAAACTATATCGGTCATCCCATATGACTGAATTCCCTTTGCAATAATAGTCAACCTCAACGGATTAACCAACGCGGGTGAGGTAATTTCTTTTGTCTTTTTATTCAAGTGTTAAAGGTTCTCTGTCGCAATAACGAACTATAGCCAAATGTGCCACCTGTATCATTCATTTTGCTTTATATTGTTGCATTCAATAGACAACATCTTGTACTAGCTAGTTCATTAATAACACCGACTTTTGTTTCTTCTAAAAAGTTATTAGGCTATATGAATGGACTCCACTGAAGGCAAGATATAAACTGTGGTGGCCAATTATTCTAAATTGAAAGAAATATGTGAAATTGTTTGCCTTTGTATTATACTCAATATTGCCTTCAATATTCGTAATTGGTTAGTGGTAAATGTAATGATAATCATATCTAAACAAAATGATGTTATGTTATTTGGGTATGGGATTTTTTTTTCTGTTTTGGTTCTGTATCAGGAAAATAGCCCAAAGAGTATTAATGAATATGTTATAAGAGACAATAATATATTTCAATTATGTAGAGAGAGGGGGATATATTTTAGGTGGGGGGTCTCCATGTGAGATCATGCAATATATTAATTAACTGTAAGTGAATATAAAGCAGACACAGTTGGTGTACAGTATTTGTGGACTCATCGTTAACGAGCCTGTTAATTAAAAGCAAGCCAATCAGCAGGGATGTGAATGTGATCACTATGAGAACTGTGGAGAGACCTGACTGTGAAGCTCCCAGCAGGGTGATCTGGGGGCCACATCCAGTCCAAGATCACTAATGAGAGAAAATTCATAGAAAATAATAGGAAACTCAAGGACAATATGGAATGATTAATCATGACTTTATGGTTCCCTAACCAAGCCTTAATTCCCATAAAAGTAATTCCCCCCATTCCACTTACTTCTACACTATCACCATGCTGCCTCTGTTCATATAATGGGTGGGCTTGGTAAAGTAGTGAGCTGTGCCAATATAGCAAATCTCTTCCATTATGGACTACATTGGTGATCAACTAACTAGTGTGGCCACCATTTCCATGTCCTATAATGAGAGTTATAGTGTGATATGCTGTCAGCCGTGATGTTTTCAGGTTCAAGGTTGGTTCAGTCTGATTGGTTGTTGTTGTGTTTTGGTTTTTGAACAGTGGCCCCAGCTGGTCTCCTTATGTGACATCAAATGAGAGAGAGAGAGAGATTCCACTGTCACTCTGTTCCAATTAACCCTGCCCTGGATAAATGTTCTCTCTCTCTCTCAGTTCTCCCCCCCCCCCCCCCCCCTCCGTCTCTTTGTCTCTCCCATGTCTTTCTCTCTCCTCTCAGTGGGACGTCTGTAGCTCTGTTCTCCTGGTGCTGTTTGTGTCTCAGAGCGTTGCTGGAACGTGTTTCTCTCTGCTCTGTGGGTATCTGGAGGAGGTTGCCCCGCTGTGAGTGTGTGTGTGTGCACTGAGCATGCTCTACGGGAAGATCAGGGCCACATTGCGGGATGTCTGTGATGTTGCTGTGCAACCGTGGCAATGTTCGATCTCGCACCACATCTGTTGTACCTGCAACGAAATTGCCACAGAATCAGTTTGTGTCTCTCTGCGTCGGCTCACTTGCTGACAGATGGGCCTTCCTTATGGCTCTTATCACACTGAGCAGTTTCCAGGGGCTCAGCGGATAATGCTGCACACTCAGAGCTGCAAAGCTCCCAGTTGATGGTATGAAATCTCCAATATTGTTCTCCAGAGAAATGAATAATTAAAACTGTTTAAATCAGTGGTCCTAAAACCCAGAAATGAGTTACCTCTGGTTCGTTCAGCCATTCCTATGGGGAAAATGAATGGGGAAAGAATAGGGTTTTGGGATAACCTCAGGCCTTATCTTTGGTGTTTAACACAGGCTTATACATTTTGTTCTATGAGATAATATCAGTCAGTTAACATGACCTTTATGAATTATGAAGCTGTTATGTGCTTAAAGTAACAAAAAGTGACTTTAGCTGATGAAGATGATCTCATAGAACAAAATGTATAGGATATCCTAAGCCTGTTTACCACAGACTGTATTTTCAGCGTTTATCCAAAAACCCTACAAAAACTCCATTCATTTTCCTATAGGCTTTGTCCAACTAACCATGGTCGAGTTAGTGCCTACAAAAAGACGCCATTGCTATTGCTCTTTATTGATTGGGCAGTTGAAATGCTACTTGCTGAAACAAACTTTTATAGTGCTTTCAGCAGCTTTCCTGAAGTATTTGTTGAGAAATCAGATGGAAATCAGACTTATGAAAGTTAAGTGTTGGTAAACATTGAGAACCTTATGTGTTACATACATGGCAAACACCTGATGAACAGCATAGGTTAATCGGCTAATAGATACATGACGGCATCAATTGACCCTTTAAGTTTGCCAAATGATTGAGAAATCGATACTTTCTTGAGCGTTTACATATACAGGCTATTGAATTATCTTTTTCTATGCGTTCTTATTTTGACTAGAGTGTACAGTTATCGCAGTGGATCACCAGCTGTGTTTACCACAAGACCTCACATTTGGTTTTGTTTTGGGGGTGGGGGGGTTATTGGCATTGTTCACTGGAGGAGCAAAGAAAGGATGGTGAATTAGTCATGCGTTTCTGATCTGGTTGGTGTGAAGTCTGTTGTTCTCCAGTGAGCCGTATGTGACGGGGACAGGGACCAGAGTCCACCTGAGCCCAGCCACCCCCTCCCTTCCTGACTTCCCATTGTCCTCTCACTGTCACATTACACAGAAGGCACACACTCTGCAACCTGATGGAACACTGCTAATCAGGTAAATAATCTGATAGAAATGTGCTTTTAGACATGGCCTGTAATCTCTTTGTGTAAACCGAGAATGATTCCGGGCGTTTTGGGGTCTTTGTTTGGTCGTTCATCGTGGCCAGGCTGGTTGCTAGGAGAGACAACAGGACAGGAGCAGATGGCTTCTGGAGGCTTGTGGCCCAGCAGGTGAAGTTATCTATGCACATAAAACAGAGTCTACTGCCAGCCCAGTGCCTTGTACCTCCACTGCTTCGCCTCACCTTGCCTTGCTGCTCCCCTTATTACCACCAAGGCCCTCTTCAAACTATCATTTCAGCTGTGTCCATGATCTGCTGTAAACTGGGCTTTTGTGAAGCATGTCGGGGCCTGATATCGTTGAGGAGAGAGGTCTCAGATCTCAGTGTTTAATGAACCAGCCCTCAGAGGTGGCCCTTTGCACTCTGCTGCTAGATTACCCATCATCACTGGACCTACCTCTGTCTGAACACTAATTCATCTCTATTGTTTTAACCCAGCTAGCGGCCTGCAATTCATGATGTGCAGTCATTCTACAAAGTCCTCCAGAATCTGTGCTACCGTGGTTTCTTCTTCCTCAGTTTTTCAATAGGTTTTTCAATACATTCACAGTTTTCCATGTATATAAACTGAAGGTACACCACATACTGTATCCTACTCCTACTCATGCACTCTCAAAGCCCTCTCTGTCTTCAGAAAGAGTTTCATGCTTCTCCACTATCCCTCTAACCCTGCTAATGTGGCCCCCCTGGCCTGGCCACTGCCTCAGCGCCAGATGCTAACCCCTGCTGCGTCCTACCTATATCACACAGCGCTGTATAATACACTGTTTAGTAGGGGCTGCTTATCATCAGAAAATGCTGAGAACTCCACCCCAGAGTGTTCTATTACCACCCCCATCCTGAGTCTTCTCAAAGGACCACCTGTTAACGGCTACATGAAAGGGCCAAAGGAGAAGGGGCTCCGCTAGGCAAAGATGCTCTTTGCCTCTCTGTGCCCCTCTCCGTCACCCACTGCCTTCCTTTTAAGGCAACAGGGCTATTCAGGCTCCGACTAGCAGTCCACTCCGTTTCTATGGAGGCGCCCCTTTTCTCTTTGTGTGAGATAAAAATATTTGTGGTGCCATTCAATCAGGCTGCTGCTCAGCCTCTGTGTCTGTGCCCCATTATCTGCACACTCATTTCAGAGGACTCTGTGATCTCCAATATGAGTCTGGGCTCAGTCAATATGTACAGTACATCATGTGCATTTTGATTATTTTAAATTTGTATGAACTGGTTGATTGGTTCATTTTATCAGCAAGGCCTCATGGATCTCACTCCTCCAGAACTGAGCAGACCAACAAGCTAGAGTGTTTTCTAGCAATACCAGTTTTCTGGGAAGTCTCCCCATTCTTAGATTAAAAATACCCTTCTCAACCACAGCAGTGTGTCAAATGTACAAGGCTGGAGGATGAGATCAAGCCTGACCAAACACTTTGTGTGGGATATGGCACAGTACCTCTCTCTCAGACACACACTGTAAGGTTGGAGAAGATAAAGGTCTCACCTCAGCAGCTACCGTCCCACTGTTGTTTGCAAACTGCACAGCGGGTAGAACTCCCTGTAGAGACAGGCAAGAGAAAGCAGTTTGTGTCTAATCACCCAGCATGCCTGCTTGCAATAGCACCACACATTTCCCTTGACAGCAGTTGCTTATTTTCCTCCACATAACGCAATCTCCTAGTCCTGGCCTGTTTTCGAAGCACCTAAATAACCCACTGTAAACCTCAGGGTGGAGTGTTTGAAAGTGTGTGTGTGTGTGATTGAAGAGGAAAGGCTATCGACCCACAACACCCCAGCAGCAGCGGGTCAATACTTCTCCCCTATAGATTTTCTGTATGGGCCGCACCGTTGTCCGACTTTAACATAAAGGATTGGCCCGCCAGTCATGCTGCATTGCCAGGGCGATGGATGGTCCCGACCCATCAGAGAGGAACAGAAAGCCCACCTTGTTCTTTTAATAAACAACCCAAATGAACTCACATGAACTAGACCAGGGGGTTAGAAACAAGGACTCTGACATTTTACTAGGACATCCTGAGTTCAATACAAATGAAGATGGTCAATTAGCTAGTGGGTATTAATCCTCAGGATTCCTTGTGGCCCATGCCCATATTCCCAGAAAATCCACTGTACCAATCACCTTTTGATCTCCTTAGTGCAGTCAGTGGCAGTGCCACTAGTTGGGTTATGTCATTATTTCTCAGTCACATCGACCTCACACTCGATTCTTACTGTTATAATAAATAGACAGGTGGGTTGGAGATACAGCTCCTAGAGCCCACAGGTATACATAATACAAGGCTGTGGTGGAGAACGGCTGCAGCATCTTATGATGAAGAGGATGTTCCAAGGCCAAAGACAGACCGGGAAAGGCATTTTTACAACACATTTTTACAGCACTAAGGGTCTGTATGTCTCTGTCTCTATATGCTCCTAAAGAGCCACTGCAGTTTGAGAGGCTAGCACAAGAGGTTAATGATTACTGCTAGGACTGATGAGTGCTGCCGTAGCATAGCATCAGGGATGGTGGTGGGGTGGAAGGGTGAGTAGGCTATGATATAGTGGTACTGAGTGTTTCTGGGAACAGAGGACAAGGGAACAACATACTGTCTGGGGCCTTCCGAGGAGGATAGTGTGGCTGCCTGGTGGTGGACTCCATGGCAGAGGAGGATAGTGTGGCTGCCTGGTGGTGGACTCCATGGCAGAGGAGGATAGTGTGGCTGCCTGGTGGTGGACTCCATGGCAGAGGAGGATAGTGTGGCTGCCTGGTGGTGGACTCCATGGCAGAGGAGGATAGTGTGGCTGCCTCGTGGTGGACTTCATAGCAGAGGAGGATAGTGTGGCTGCCTCGTGGTGGACTTCATAGCAGAGGAGGATAGTGTGGCTGCCTTGTGGTGGACTTCATAGCAGAGGAGGATAGTGTGGCTGCCTCGTGGTGGACTTCATAGCAGAGGATGATAGTTTGGTTGCCTGGTGGTGGACTCCATGGCAGTGGCTCAAAGCCACAGGCAGTCACAGAGGGATATCACACCAATCAGCTGTGACTGATGTTTCTCCAAAGGAAAGACTGTTCTGTAGGGATTACATAAAACATGACGAGGAGCCAAGTTTCTCTACATACTGTATATTTGAATGTACTCTGGACTTTCTAAGAAGTATAGTTCACCAGCCCAGTCCATAGTGTGTCTGTGTCATCATAATGTAGCTGCTTCTGTCCATTTTGTCAAGTAAAATATAGAATGAGTGTACTGAAAACTGTTGTATTTTTACAGCAGGTGGCGCTGTGTTTATAGATGATGTCTTCCACCTGGTGTCTGTCTCTGGTTCTCCTGGTCTCCATTCTGGCCATTTCACACAACGCCGAGCCCGGCTCCACACATGCCAAGAGGAGACTGGCACAGCCCTCGCCAGGCAGTGGCAATGCCCTCCAATACCCTGATCAGGGCTTCCAGAGTCACGGGCATGGGCACGGCAGGGAGCGTGGAGGGGGGCATGGGGGCCAGGGGTCCCACGGTGCCAAAGCCAGTACTGGGGCTGGGCTTCTCTCCCGCAGGCCACTGCACCCTGCAGCTCGGCCTGAGGATGATGGGACGGGTCTGGAGGGCCTGAGCCCGGTGAGACTGGAGATGGGTCCTGTGGGCAGGGAGCAGGAGAAGACTCACGGGGGCTTCAGGAATCCGTCTCATGCCCGGGACAACCACCCTCTGGGGCCACGCAAGGGGAGAGGCCATGGACATGGGCACCACTTTGACCACAGGAGACATGGAGGTCGGAGAGATAAGGGTCGGCTCACTAAAGGTGAGTCTCTAATGAATCTAGGGTTATCAGATAATGAGCCGTGAGCCTGTTTGGGATTAGTTGTGTTTAAATACCATAATGAGTTCTGAAAGAGCCCAAATACTTAGATACTAATCAATTAAAAAACATAAATGTTAAATTCTGTGATTTTGTCATAGGGCATTGATAAATTGATTAAGTGTGTAGTAGTTGACCTTATACTTAACAATTAAAATATATATATATATATATATATATATATTGTCATCAGGGAGAGATCTTATTAGGTGTATATCATAATGTCTGGCTGTCCTTCTCCTCCCCCACCCCTGTTCTGTCCATCCCTCCCTCATTGTAGGTTTTCTCCCTGTGCCTGAGCTAGGCTCTGTTCTGAAGAACAGGGATATGTCTGAAGAGGGATCTGTCTCCTCCGCTGCTGCAGCCGCCTCCCCCTCTCACAGATTGACCCCGCCCACTGAACCCCCCTCCCCCATCTCCGCCGTCTTCGGCTCCGGCTCCTATGCGGTTACCACGGTGATGAGCGAGCATCCCCCAACACTGCCCCCAGCCTCCACCAAACCCCAGGTACCCCATAAAGACATGAGTGCTTATTACAAATAACATTGTCAGTTGTGCCTCAGTTTTGTAGGGTTTATAGAGATATGTGTTCATGGTAAAGAAAGAGCGACTGTATTTCCTATTTGGAATTACCTAGGCTCTGTAATGGACTTAATGTATCACATAGCTCATTATTCATCTCAGAGAAATGAGGAGACAGGCTTTTTAAATGACCTATCAGTTGAGGGTGGCTGGAACATAATAGCCAATATGGTAGACTGGTCTCAAGGGTTTTTAGATATTATTATGTTAATCTACATAGCACATGCCTCGGGGGTCAAGTTCATACCATCATTGGTCAAGTAGTAGAACACCCTCTCTGTTACTGTCTTTGTTATTATGTATTCCTGTCTGGTAAATCCATATATTGAATGTACTGCTTGGAGCACCATGTACATCTAGGAGGCAATGTGTGAGGAAGGGGGTTATAGAAGTGTGGTGGGCGTGGTGTAGCTCTCTGGCCCCTCCTCCTCATAGACATCTGTCAGTCACTTTACATTTGATATTTTAGTCATTTTAGCAGACGCTCTTATCCAGAGCGACTTACTGTTAGTGAGTGCATACATTTTCATACTGGCCCCCCGTGGGAATCGAACCCACAACCCTGGCGTTGCAAACACCATGCTCTACCAACTGAGCTACACGGGACTTTCTCCCAGCATGCAGCCTGCCATCACAGTGATCACACCCACAGAGTTAGATATATTTTCTGCTCCTCACATACAAATATTCCTTCTCATCTATCATCCCTCTATTTATCACAGGATGCTATCAAACCACCAACACACTCATTAGACTGGTTAACAACAGTACTCAGCTGTTCTGGGGAGCCTACTCTTTGTCTGTTGTGTTCTCCTCTCTAGGCCCATGGTGTTTTCCTCTCCCAGGCCCATAGTTCCAGAGTTACTGTCTGGCTTTACTGGCCTCTGTGAGTGTTTGATGTCTGGTCTGTCTGACTGCTTGGTATGCTGTTTACAAGCTGCCAGAGAGCCCTGGAGACCGTGTGCATGTCTTTATTCAGGAGCTGTCAGATACCGGCCTGTAGTGGATGCGATAGCCTCGCTTGGAGGGGACCTGGGTTCAATGACACAGGGATGCTGGGAGTGTTCTTAAGTAATGTTCGATCCCGGCTGATGGCTAAATGAACAGCCAAGCACTAGTATCCCACCACCATTTATCTAATTGATGTTCCTCAATGTTTCCTCGGGGTGAGACGGAATGAGCTGGGATCAATGTGCACCAGAAGCCTGGTTGGCACAGACCCTTATTTCCTGATAAATGTGCTTCACAGGTCCAGTCTCTCTAGACATCACCAGGAGACCTCTCAATGTCAAATTGACTTCATAATCACCTGTTATTATTTTGTCAAGACCAGAGGAAATGCATTATGTAAAGAGTTTAGTTGAAGTTTATGACATCGGTTTTGGCTGAGTAATCCTCAGAGGAGTTGTTTTGTTCAATATTGACTTCCGCTTAAAATTGCTTCAGCTCAGGGTTTAATATTGAAGGACATCGTTGACAGTGTTGGTAAAACCACAGCTGTGTGATTCAGCACAGGCCTTCTCCTCTGACCAGTAGTAACACTACCATCTGATGTTTGGTATAATGTATGTATGCTGCCTCAGGGCCATAAACAGTGTAGTAGGTAGCCATGTCCTCAGTAAAGCACTAAGGGGTGTGAAGTCCTGGGTGTCCACAACTAACAGGCCGTTTTATGGACCAGGTGGCAGTGCACATCAACACCCCAACAGAAACATACTGGAATGTAGTTAGAGACCAATGGTATGAGGCTATAATGGGGTATTTTCTCTGCATTATAGAAGTCTGGCCAGGGGAAGATGCAAGGAGAGGTGATGCCCACTCTGGACATGACTCTGTTTGACTGGACAGACTACGAGGACATGAAGCCAGTGGACGCCTGGCCATCCTCCAGGAAGAAAGGTCAGCACTTTAGATGTTTTGAGAAGATACAGCTACTGTTAATGTTGGTGGAAAGTCACACATGAATATGTGTTCACTCCCCCCCAAAATTAATACAGATGTAGGATCTTAATTTGAGCCAGTCTACTACAGCAGGAAAATAATCGTGCAGCAACAAGAAATCTGAATTATTATGTGGATTATAATTAATGGACATTTTTGTAGGGGTTGATACATTTTTTGATACATAATGTGGAAATTACAAACTTCAGAATCCTTTTTAAACCTCAAATACACTACAAATTTAACATTTCCTACATTGCAGGAAAGTTCTCCTGCAACAGGGTGATCAAATTAATGTCCTACATCTGTAATTATCCCTTGGGATGTATTGAACACACAGCATAGAATAAGCACGTTTGATATATCTGTTATTTCCTTGACATTTAAGTGTTTGCTTGATAGTCCATCTGTTAGTCTGAGCCTGGGTTGAATCATTCAGTCCAAGTACTTTATTGGCAATCTGTTGTTGGTTGTTTTGCATGCTGAAGACAAGCGGCGCAGTAAGAACCTGAGCAGTGGCAACGTGACGGTGGACGCTGATGCCATCGAGCCATGTGACCACCATCTGGACTGCCTCTCAGGTCAGTGACTAAACTGTCACCCATACACTACTCTCCTGACCCTTGACCTCTGACCACTCAGGTCATGGTCTCCTGAACGATCGTTATGATAAAGGCCATGTGACGATTGAAACATTTGATTTTGAATTTACAACCGAAAGTCACTTGGTTTCTCCCTCCACCCCCTCCTATAGGCTCCTGCTGTGACCTGAGACAACACGAGTGCAAGCCTCACAACCGGGGCCTCAACAACAAGTGCTATGACGACTGCATGTGCGAGGAAGGTGAGTAAGGGATGTATCAGGCGAAAGCCACAGAACATCAGAAAATGTAAGAGAGAACACAACCAACATACAGTAGGTGATTGTCTCTTTTTTTATGTCAGTAGCCTGCTTATCCATCCTCTGATATTGTCCTATTACTTTGTCTAAGGGTTCCGTTGCTATGCCAAGTTCCACCGGAAGCGTCGTGTGACCAGGCGAAGGGGCCGCTGCGTGGTGCCAGAGTCAGCCAACAGTGACCAGGGTGCCTTCATCACAGTGTGAGGGGCGACAGACACACACCAGAGGCCCCCACACACACCACACACTGAACATGACCTCTCCCTCTGACAAAACAGACAGAACACAGGCTATACAGAACCTGACAGTGATAGTTCATTCAGCATTTTCATACTACCAACTCATATGGTCTCCCCCACTTCATGTACATTAGGTCCAAAACAACAACTGTGCAGTGTCTGATTATCTGTGTCCTGTACATATGAATGTGTTTTCTGAGAATGGATTGATTACCAATTGCTTTTCTACTGATAATGTTACACTACTCTTTAAAGGTAATTAGTATGATAAGCAAAAATGTTTGTTTGAGTTTCCTTTTATATGTTTAACTATATGTTTTATTTATACAATACTTAAAACAGAACTCTCTGTCTATATTGTGTTTTTTCAACTTAATTTTATGTGATTAAATTCTTGTACAATGATGACGGTTGTCCCTAGTGTTCTTGAGTGTTGAGTGTTGATCTTTTGTGTGCAGGATTTAGCCATGTCAAATGTCCAGGACCTCATGTTATGTCATCCCACAGGGTTTCACATGATACAGAGAGAGCTATGGCTCACATGAGTCAATGGGGGTTCATGTCCTTTGACCATTTAATGGACAGGCAGGGCAGAGACAGGCTTGGTTAAGATTCTTATCATTATGCTACCTCTCTATATATTCAGTTTGTTTAGTCACGGGGATCAGGGTCTTTTATGAAACATTATACTCCATGACACCAGTGAGGATAATTCTTCTCAGTACTCTGTGTGGAGACAGACGTGAGAGTTGGTTCCAAAGAGCCACAGGAGCTCCGAGGATGGGGCTGTATGCCCCCTGCTCTCAGTGGGATGCTGTGTGTCAGAGCCCAGGGCCCCCTGGAGGAGGACAGATGCTGTCGCTCTCGCTTTCTTTCTTTCTCTCTCTGTCTCTCTCTCTCTCTCTGCTCCTACGCAAGTGACCTTGATCCTCCACAGTCTCTCTGCTGCATCCCTCTCTCACACTATTTCTCTCGTCTCTCTCTTTCACATGGAGAAACAAGGTGGTCAAACAAGACTTGAACCACAGAGTGTAAAGAAAGGGAAATCAATGACATCAAGTGTATTGGTGAGTAAAGCATTAGCTCCCACTCCCACCACACAATTGCACCTGTATCCATATTTGATCAGGCAGAGTAAGTAACACTTGTTTTTCGTCCCAAACAACCAGCACACTGGGAGCACCATGTTGCTCTCACTCTGATTTACAGTCATGGAATAAAAGCAGTAGTGATGTATTTTTGATAATAACCTCTGAGAAAGTGTTTTGCTACTGAGTGCACTGCTGAAACTTGGAAAGCAGCCAGTCGAATGATGGATCACACCCAGCCAGATCGTGGCAGGATACATAGGGACAGCAGCATCAATAAGGGACCTGCCTAGACTGTAAAACAGCCCGTAAAGCATTAGATAGAAAGGAATGGAGAATTGTTGTTTAAAACTTAGTGTATGGGAAGATGTTTCAGAGGATTGTTGTTGCGTAATGTGCAGTCTATCACTCTCTTGGAAGGTGACAACCACATATTCTATTAAATTCCGATTATTGACTTGGCTCCCAAGTGTAAAGCAAAATTGCAACACAAATTAAAGTAATACATCCATCTGTCACAAACACCTCCCTCTCTTTCTATCCCTCCCTCTCCAGTCCCCTGTAGAGATAGAGGATACCCGACCAATTTACAACGAGACAGATGTGGCTGTTTCTACAACATTTTGAGATTAAACACGTCTTTAAATTAAAATGACAGAAATTACACCTGCTTTGAATAGAAACAATGTTGCATGAACTCTACGTTGGTTACTGTCGCTGATGTCACAGAGGTCAAAGAGGTCAACAGGAGGTCAGGTCAGGGGTCGCACCTGCTACGGCAGGCCAGTGGCCATCTGCCATGTTACTGTCACAACAAATGGGTTTATTACCAGCAGGTTGCGAGAGGACAGACACCCTAAAAGAATTGGGGAACACTAACGGTAACCAGGACTGTCTAATCCCAGTCACACCATTAGAGATAGTTAGAGGACTCAACTTGGTTTATAAATCGTTTTAGCATGGACATTACCATTGAGGGCTTCCACCATCTTAAAGTAGTCAACTGGATGGGGATCCCTATGGGTTGGGAGCAATCAGCCAATGGGAAGATCTCAATTGCATACTCCTCAAATCCCGTTGAAGGAGAAGGTCAGAGGGGAGGGATGCCTTTCTCATCAATGGGTTTTGAGAAGGAGACAAGGAGAGAGGATGCGAGGAGTATGAAATTGAGACCTTCCCATATATCAGAGCGGGACACACTCTTTTCAAGCGACTTCGATACAGCTATGACCAGAAGTGATTTTCGTAGCAGGTTAGGAGACCATTTTCGAAGTAACTGAGTGGGCATATAATGTAAACGCCTAGCAACCCAAAGGTTGTGAGTTTGAATCTTGTCACAGACAACTTTAGCATTTTAGCTAATTAGCAACTTTTCAACTACTTACTACTTTTTAGCAACTTAGATAGAGTGTTTCTCAGATCAGAGCATTGCCTTCTTCTTCAAATTGGGTGCTATGGTTTCTAAATGGCTTCAAGCTATATCACCGCCATCTAGTGGCCACAATAAATTAATGATGCACAAGATTTGGTTCAGGACTCCAGCACAGCAGGTGGCCAGCCTTGTCTCATAGACTAGACGTAGCATAGTAAATGTAGATTTGAGACACTCAATTTAGTATGATATGTTACGTTTGGCATGTTTGCATAAGACATAAAGTTACTTAAGGCACAAACAAAAGGATGGTGGTTGGTCGGGGAGGATGGTTGGGGTATAACGCTAAGGGTTCCGTTGCTATGCCAAGTTCCACAGGAAGCGTCGTGTGACCAGGCGAAGGGGCCATTGCGTGGTGCCAGAGTCAGCCAACAGTAACCAGGGTGCCTTCATCACAGTGTGAGGGGCGACAGACACACACCAGAGGCCCCACTGTCTCACTGCACGAATCAACAGCCATTCATACGAATGGGGATCATAAAAGTCGGTTTCAAGGCTAGCAACTTTCCTTTCAATCTATAAAATGGGCCTACTAGAATGTCGATATATTTTTCAAAGTCCTGCTCCATTTATAATACTTCCAAGCGCAGTCCTAGCTCCCACACTGACTGAGACTTGGATTATAATTGAGTTTATAGTAAAGGAAATTGAGGCTGTGTCTTCTGGCTTTAATACAAAAAAATGGGGTGAGGATAAAGGATTTTCTGTGGTTAGCAGTGCACCTCAGAAACAACTATTACTTTACAGAGATGTACCTGTAGAGGAGGCTGCTGAGGGGAGGACGGCTCATAATAATGACTGGAACGGAGCAAATAGAATGTGTGATGTATTTGATACCATTCCACGATTCCGCTCCAGCCATTACCACGAGCCCGTCCTCCCAAATTAAGGTGCCACCAAACTCCTGTGCTGTAGAGATACATAACAGGGTGATACTGTATACTTTGCACAGCATAGTTTCATATCTACCTCATTTGGATTTCATGAGGAGCATGACAAACTGTCCATTAAGAACCCATTTAAGGTGAGTTACAGAGAGATGAGATACATTAACAATTCCCTGAAGCATATGCTGATAGACCACTGACTGAGGTGGTCTATCTAAGTTGCTAAAAAGTAGTAAGTAGTTGAAAAGTTGCTAATTAGCTAAAATGCTAAAGTTGTCTGTGACAAGATTCAAACTCACAACCTTTGGGTTGCTAGACGTTTACATTATATGCCCACTCATCTGTAGCTAAAAAGTAGTTAGTTGTTGGAAAGTTGCTAATTAGCTAAACATTTCTATGAAGGGATTCAAACTCACAACCTTTGGGTTGCTAGATGTTTATGTTCTATGACCACCCATCCACTCACACCCATACTTAAGTAACCATCTTGTCTTATGTAACCATACCAAACATATCATACTAATTCGAGTGCCCCGGATTTACGTTTACTATGTTAAGTCTAGTCTATGAGACCAGGCTGACAGTAGTCACCTGGGTGGGAGATAGCAGAGAAGAAAATCATCAGAGAGATTTTATTTGTCATCCATCCTGGAACAGCCATTTATAGACTTATGGGAACAACACAAGATATTCAACTTGTGATTTATATTATCTTGAACATTTCACTCTTGTGACATGTAGCCTATGAAAAGTGGCCACTGTAACCAGTTCAAGCAGAATGCCTGTAATACAATTGGTATGTTTGAACATGAACATGTTTACCCACATTCCAATAAATAGCCTGCCTACATGGTCTAATGTTTATGATAATTGATTTACATGACCAAGACCAAGCAGCTGATGCTCACGTGTTTGTTTTTTGCAGTATGAAATGATGGGGATGGGGGGGCTGTGTCACATGGTTTGTGTTTGCTGCCTGGTTAGTGGGAGGGGTTGAGACATTTTATGAGAGAACTTCAACAGTTATGTATTAAATCTTCAGAAACGTGAAAAGTTGAAAGGGACCACACTATATCTGCAGTGCATTGGCCTGAAAATATGGAAATTCCTGCCGTAAACCTCAAGGTAAAGTCGGTTGTTAACATGTTTGCAATAGTTGTCAGTCATACAATGCTGACTTTATTTACGCTGCTCTTACTTGATACGCATTTCGACAGTATTAACATTATTTTTATTTTATCAAAGTGTCACGTTACAGGAACACAAGCTCTCTGTCATTGTAGACTAAAAAATAGCAATTGTGTAACATTCTTCTCCCTATCATGCGTGAAATGACTCAGTCAGAGCTTATCACGAGATGCTGAGTTCGTGGTTAAACTTCTCCAATCAATTCAAATTCTTAATTTATTGTGAATCACTGATCGTTTAATGAAATGTCAGGCATCCGTCATCAATTCAAGTGGAGTTGACGCAAATTCCCTCTCATTGGTTACCAAAAAATTTAAAATCACGTGTGTGATGTTGTCTTTCTTTGTCCCCACAGGCCATAGTACTAGTGCACTGGCTACTAACCATCTGGTGAGTGAGTGAGTGAGTGAGTGGGTGGGTTGGTTGGCTCCTCTCAAGGGTTTTTCATACACCTGTGGAATTTCGCTTGTTGCTGACTCCAATTTAGGACAGTGGTCTGCATGGTTCACTTGTGTTGTGTTTTCTCTATGGATGGCTGCACACACATAATGCCCTACCTGAAGACTTCATATAGTCAGTCAGTCACACAAGAGGCGGTCTTTAACCACAGGCTGATAATGGACCATTTCTCACCTACATGCTTTGGCTCCAGAATTTGTCAAATACAATTGTCAATCTGGAGATTTATATTAGGCCTACTCTTTTTGAGACTCTAGTTGACTCTTTTTGAGACAAATGTTGAACATTTGGAAGCATTTGTAAGTGTCTGTTGGTATTTCTGACTGCATGTGTGTGGTTCCTAGGGGCTGCATGGCCTGGCTGCCCCCCTCCTATGCCTGGGGGAACTTCAGTGTCCTGGCTGTGGGTGTGTGGGCCATCGCTCAGAGGGACTCCATCGATGCTGTACTTATGGTGAATCACTGCCTCATACTCCTGTACTATCTCAGACAGAAAATGCCAAAGAATAGCCCGCAATTACACACAACATTACATAAAATGACATCGGAGCTCCAGACCGCCCACACTAGTCGCCGCTCAACACTGTAGTAAATCATGGAGTTGAGTTTAGTCGGCTAGCTATCAATAAGAATCATCCTACCTCATCAGGCTCTTATACGCATTTGTCTTGTTTCTCCATCTGCATTTCTCTTCCAGTTTCTGATTGGGATTGCAGTGACGATACTGACGGACATCATCCATCTTGGGATTTTCTACCCGCTGGCCGAGGGTCTAGCGGAGAGGAACAGGGACACATTCCGCTTCAGTGCGGGCATGGCCATCCTGGGTCTGCTACTCAAACCTGTCTCCTGCTTCTTCATCTACCAAATGTACAGAGAGCGTGGAGGAGATTACAATGTCAACTTTGGTGAGTATGACTAGGTGTGAGTAGAGGCAGCAGGCGTTAACCATTAGCTTACAGTAAAGCTAGTTACTCACTGTCACTTCTAATGGTAAAAATAAGGTTTTGGGGTTTGTAGAACTAGTCTCAGACAAAGGACTATCCCTGGACTGGTCTGGACAAAGTCCGAAGCATGGTGCTATGTGATGCATGTGCTTTGGATAGTGATATCATCCTAGTGCCAAGGAGTTGTTGAGAGGAAATAACATTCTCCAGGCTGTAATCTTGCCTGGGCTGTTTCATGTTGTTGGCCATGAGAGGATTGTAGTGCACAGGCTGGCTGCTCAGAGCCTTTGTGTAAAACCGTACTGCAGGCAGATCAAACCAGAGTCATGCTAATTGAGTTACAGAGACGGTCACAAGACCAATGCGCCTGAGACACCCACTAACTAGTGGACCAGCCTAGCCAGGTCACATTTATATAATCGATTAGCAAAATAATCTGATTGGAGTTCCTCTGTCTTGCCCAGTTAATTGGAAGAATACAGTATAAAATAAAGGACAATTAGACAGTAGAATCTATAATGGCAGTGGCAGAACCCGTTCCCTTCTCAACTTGATCTAAGTCAAACTGAGATGTTAGCACAACACAAGTCCTGGGTGTTTTTGCAGAGGTTTGGTGACTGTTCTCAAAAAACTTACTGGAACAGGAATGGCATGTTAAGTTGCCCCATAGAAAAGTAGGACATGCCTGAAATCCATTTGAATGGTGTGTTCATACTAGATGATTTGATGGTTCTGTCAGGCTTTGTTACCCAGAGTAGACAAAGATATGTTTTGTCAAAAGTTGTATAAGTTGAGCAACCCAATTTGTCTCCCTTGTTTATTCAAATAAGTATAGACCATTAATGAAGTTGACTTTTCTGTGGTAAAATGTAATGATGCACAGCAGGTACATGTGACTTTGATTGGAAACTAGGTGATTAATGTAGTTAATTTTCTAAGTTTTTAAGGTTTCTTTTAAATGCTCTCTGATTGCTTGACATTTGGGGGGGGGGGATCAAGGTGGCGTCATGCAGTGCTATACACCAAGGACAAGGCAATCAGGTGTGTCGATTTAAAACCATTTAACGCTGATAAGTATGTGACTGCATGTGTGTGGTTACAAGAATATTAAAGGTAGACTCCGCGAAATGACATTGCCATCAGCAGCACTGCAGATATTGAGACTAGATGCAAGACTTCGCCCTCACACAGTCACACAGTATATGCGCATGTGCACGGGTTCGCTTCACGCTGTTCACAGCGTGGTAGCCTGGGCACCAAAACAGCGGAGAGGTTGAACCTCGCACTTCAACGCTCTGTTGTTGCGGAAATTGACCGACTATGCTGTTTACTTGCTACATCTACGTCATATCTGAGTCTAACTTTGTCAGGGCACAAAACCCTGTTCTAGTCGACTTTCGTCATCCCATACCAAACATCCAATTGTCACCAGTTCCTTTTCACTAAACCTCATTCTGTCGCACTACTAGTGATTGAATGTTGTCTTTAGCTTTCTGTCTGTGAGTGGAAACAATCCTCTGTCTTGTCTGTTGTGTCTCTGTTCTGACCCTGTTTGCATTTTGTCTCCATCTGTCCCCCCTCTGCTGCTTGCCTCTGACCCCTCAGACTTAGACACCTCAGTGGACAGTCGCTGCACCACGGATAGTGCCGACAGTGCCTTTATCGGCCGCCGCTACTGATCCTCATCCTCTTCTGTTTCATCATTCCTTTAGTTCCATCATCCTCTCCTCCATCCTCTCCTCCCCTCACACAGGACGTAAGGGAAACTGCTGGGCTGAAGAACTACAGGCTGTCCACTCTTTTATCTCTTGCCACATGACTCTAGTATCTGTATTCTGTGCTCATGTCTCTTCTCATCATCCTTATCTGCCAATCACACATCATATCTGCTTGTCACTCCTTCCTATCTAAATACTGAAGGTGACATCTGTTTCACTCCATGAAAATGATATTTACATATTCTTGCTTGATGTTTGTGCTTTTGTTTGATTTAATGTTTGTGTTTTTGTGACTTTGTAAGACTACGAAGTAGTAAGAATATTGTGGACTGCATCTGTATTTATCAGAATAGCTAAGAATAAGGTTGATCATTTAAGGTCATAAATGGATGATTGGAGATTTTAACACAACTTTGTGCACTTAAATATTGCAGTATTAGACTTTAGAAAATTAATTTATGCAGACATTTTAAAGTTATATTTTTAATAAATGCTATTTAAGTGAAAATGCTCAATCTATTTTTGCGTCAGTGTTTTCGTTATCTGATTTTCATTATACATATTGTGGTTGAACGCGAAGGTTGGCTCTTATATGATAGAATTGAGTGCTTGACGTGATCAATGTTCCCAGGTTTGGTTTTAGGCAGCCATTGGTATTCTGTCTCAGTGACCGTACAGGACTGGGTGACTGTTCAGTATGCACTAGTGCTTCATCATGAGTGAATATTGCAGCCTGCAGCATTATCCCCACATATTGCCTCTTCAAAAGTGTGTTGTAAATCATTTGTTTGAGATGTGGTGTTTGTAGGGACTCTCAGATACAGGGTTTTCAGTGTAAACAATTCCCAAGGAGTTTGGCTTTGTAGATATTCATTCCTTTATCTCCTGGGTAGTGTTCTGTTCCTCACTTTTCATTCTCTATCATTTGACTGTGGGTCACCTGACTGTGGTAGGTCTAACATAGAGCGATGATGTGTGTGTGAGTCCTGCAGATTGGTCTCATTGAATGTAATTAATCAAATGTAATTTGCTGTTTTCTGGATGAACTTTCAACCTTAACATGAAGGTTGATGTTGGGTTTTATGTTGAATCAATGATAAAAACATTTTACAGTTTAATGTTCTGTGTATCAGCTCTATGTTGAAAATATCTGTCTTGTCTCTACACAGCAGGCTTCCCCAGTGTAACACGAAACAGAGATGCTTACCAGTCCATTGACCAGCAGGATCAGTCCACCAGCTCAGCCAACCCCTTCAACCAGGCCGAGGCCACAAAGCCTGGAGCACCACGCTCCTACTGAGATGCAGCACTCACTTTATTCTCTTGGAAATGCATGGTGTCATGAAGGAATCCATCACATCCATAATGTTTTTGTAAAAAAATTTGTTTTTTCCTTTCATATGGGTATTTGTGAACTGCAAAAGTCCTTTGTCGATTGTCCTGAAATTTATTCAATCCCTTACCAAAAATGCCCTGTTCTAAATACTCACTGTCATGGTAAAATAATATGATTTGCTTACTGTATGCTTGATGCTCAGGATAATGGCACATACACTAGAATATGGATAGAACCTGAAATACCTTGGACACAAGCCCAACACTAAAATGATAGATGTGATGACGTTTTTGATTTTTATGGTGCAGTAACACTGGGATAATAATGTAGAAAATACAGTTTTACAAAATTATACAGCCAAGTTTGCCTGCCCTCTTACCAATATCTACCCTGTCCTAAATGCTACTATATTTCTTACTTTGTGACTTTATTTAAAAGATGCCTGATGTAAGATCTGTGTTGTCCTAACCCTGAAAGATGGACATGAGTGGTTACAACAGTATTATTGCCAGTGTTTGGAATAACCAGTGCTCTGGTTTTGTGTTATTTTTTAGCAAGCCTTATGTTACTGTATCCTAAGCTATTCTCAGCACCACCATCTACTCAAATCAAAACGTATGTGAAGATGACGTCAATAGGATAATGGTGGTGCAGTTTGTAAACCCTTCCATTTTACTTCATTTTACCACATGAATGCCGTCTGACGTTTCCAGTTTTACCTCACCTTCTGACTAGATGGCAGAGCAGTACAGCTTTCAGGGAGGACGTGTATCTCTTTGTTGTGAAGTGAAACATAACCCTCTAATGAGTGTTTTGAAAAGGTCAAGATGTAGAAAGCGTGCCAGTCATTTGGTCTGCAACGGTTCTGTGACATTCTTTATTGAAACTAGTTCACTGTGAGTATACTTTTAAAATCAGATTTATCTCTGTCAGAATTAAGAATATGAAAGACTTTCTGCCTTCAATACGTTACGGGTAGGATTTACCTCTGAGCTGAGAGAGCAGATGCCTGTTACAGCCCAGTAAATATGAACCAGGAAGAACAACTATATTCCTGGATGTGATTTGCATAGCTTTGTGTTTGACAGGGCACTTTCCTTGTAAAATGTTAGCACTTGTGTCCTCAATCATTCCAAATGCAAATGGTTTTTATGTAGCTGATCAAGTTTGTACGATTTTTGTCTTTTCCTTTCATTTGTAAATGCACTAAAGCCTTCGTCAAAGAGCACTACTCTTAATTTTACATTGACTGTGAGGCAATTTTCTTGAACAACCAATGTGTTTGGCCCAGCAGTGTTGAGTTGTTCTCTTGATAAAATACAGAAACTCTTTATTGATCTGAATGAGTTACAAGCCATATTGATTTGAGTAACATGGGTGAATACCAAACATTCAAAACCTTGAAATTCTATCCACAAGTTAATAAAAAACTACAGCTCTGTCATAACATTTACATTTTTCATGGAGTGTTTTATTGAAGTATTATCCAGGGATGAGAAAAAGGAATGCAAAATGTACTTTTTTAAATAAACGCTGCACTACTTGCACTTGCAACCAAATGCTATGCTCCGTGCACAAATGCTATACCGCTTGCACTTGTCTATGAAAACACTAGACAATTAAACAACTTTATACACTAAACAAAAATATTAACGCAAAATGCAACAATTTCAAAGATTTTACTGAGTTACAGTTCATATAATGAAATTAATTAGGCCATGATCTATGGATTTCACATGACTGGGAATACAGATATGCATCTGTCGGTCACAGAGACCTTAAACAAAAAGGTAGGGGCGTGGATCAGAAAACCAGTCAATATCTGGTGTGACCACAATTTGCCTCATGCAGCGCGACACATCTCCTTCGCATAAAGTTAATCAGGCTGTTGATTGTGGCCTGTGGAATGTTCTCTGGCAACAGCTCTGATGGACATTCCTGCAGTCAGCATGCCAATTGCACACTCCCTCAAAACTTGAGACATCTGTGGCATTGTGTAGAGTGACAAAACTGCACATTTTAGAGTGGCCTTTTATTGTCGCCAGCACAAGGTCCACCTGTGTAACGATCATGCTGTTTAATCAGTTTCTTGATATTCCACACCTGTCAGGTGGATGGATTATCTTGGCAAAGGAGAAATGCTCACTAACAGGGATGTAAAAAAATTTGTGCACACATTTTTTGAAAAATACACTTTTTGTGCTTATGGAACATTTCTGGGATCTTTTATTTCAGCTCATGAAACATGGGACCAACACTTTACATGTTATGTTTATATTTTTGTTCAGTATAAACAACATATGTTTTACATTTGCCTTTATATAAGACTTTGCCAAACAATACAGAGCACTGTTTCTACAAGGTGCACAGCACAAGGCAACATGCATACTGGCTAAATTGCTTCCATTGACTCTTTATCGGAGAGCCTGTCTGACAGGCATTATAATAGAACCCACTTGAGCTCTTCTTAAACATATCATTGACAATTTATAGTGCTGTATGATTTTCAAAGTCATTTTTATTAAGGTGACTCCTAAACAGGCTTTACCATCTCATACATCTCCCTCATGCATCCTGATGATATTCCCACCATGTCCCTTCCTCTTTCTTCTTCCCTCTCTTTCATTCTGTCTCTCCTCTAAGACATGTCTCTGATAACCTTGGCACTGCTCTTCCCTGCCAGGAGCCACTCCACAGCCCTATCACTGCTTTGATTTATCAGAGTAGACTGGACAGGACACTGATCTATCTTAGTTTACAGCCCTGCCCCTTTTACACTCAACTGTATTTATTCTGTAGGTATTATATTTTATACATTGTCAAAGTTTATTTAAACTCGAAAAATCTAAGGAATCTAGGAATAATTTATTAATTGGCTTTTGGGGAGAGATCACTCTGGTATGCAGTTCTTCTGCTACTGTTAGTTTATCAAAGTTACCGGAATCTTCAGTAATTTTGGTAACAGAAAATCTATGGCACTCTATCGTAACTTTAGTAATTTATACTTTAAATTATTCATATATATTATTCATTTTTTACACCGATCTCCATATTTTCCATGAGTTTCTAGTAGATAGACATTTACATTTACATTTTAGTTTAATAGACCTTATGGTTCAAGAGAAAATAGCCTAATTAATGAAAAAAGCATCTAATCAACAATGGCATTACTTTCAATTAACTCTGCAACTCTTCCAACTATTGACAAAGTAAAATAAATAAAGTTCTCTAAAAAAATATAAAGGATATTTCATGCTGAAACCCTCACCCTAGACCCACTCCAATTTGCATACTGCTGCAACAGATCCACAGATGATGCAATGTCAGTTGCACTTCAAATTGCCTCTCCCACCTGGACAAGAGGGGAAATAACTATGTGGGAATGCTGTTCATAGACTATAGCTCAGCGTTCAACACCATAGTCCCCTCCAAGCTCATCACCAAGCTAGGGACCCTGGGACTGAACCCCTTCCTCTGCAACTGGATCCAGAGGGTGTTAATGGAAGCCTCTCCAACATAATCCAGGTAGAGTCAGGCATTCCCCAGGGCAGTTGTCTAGGCCCCTTCTTTCCATCTTTACTAATGACCTACCATTGGCTCTGAGTAAATCCTGTGTGCCTATGTATGCTTCTGACTCAACACTATAAATGTCAGCTACCACAGCAAGTAAAATCACTGCAACACTTAACAAAGAGCTGCAGTCAGTGTCAGAATGGGTGGCAAGAAATAAATTAGTCCTAAATATTTAAAAAACTAAAAGCATTGTATTTGGGACAAATCATTCCACTAAACCCTAAACCTCAACTAAATATTGTAATGCAGAATGTGGAAATTGAGCAAGTTGAGAAGACTAAACTGCTTGGAGTAACCCTGGATTGTAAACTGTCATGGTCAAAACATATTGATGCATCAGTAGCTAAGATGGGGAGAGGTCTGTCCATAATAAAGCGCTGCTCTGCTTTCTTAACAACGCTATCAACAAGGCAGGTCCTACAGGCCCCAGTTTTGTCGCACCTGGACTACTGTCCAGTTGTGTGGTCAGGTGCCACAAAGAGGGACTTTGGAAAATTACAATTGGCCCAGAATGGAGCAGCACTGCTGGCCCTTAAATGTACATGGAGAGCTAACATTAATAATATGCATGTCAATCTCTCCTGGCTAAAAGTAGAGGAGAGATTGACTTCATCACTACTTGTATTTGTGAGAAGTATTGACATGTTGAATGCACGAGCTGTCTGTTTAAACTACTAGCACACAGCTCAGACACCCATACATACCCAACAAGACATGCCACAGAGGTCTCTTCACAGTCCCCAAGTCCAGAACAGACTATGGGAGGCGCACAGTACTACATTGAGCGATGACTACATGGAACTCTATTCCACATCAAGTAACTCATGCAGGCATTAAAATCGGATAAAAAAATCGGATAAAAATACCACCTTAAGGAACAGCGGGGACTGTTTAGAGACAAACACACAGGCATAGACACATATACACACACAAATGATAACATACGCACTATACACACACGTTCACATGGAGTTTTGTGTTAGTAGAGTAGTGGCCTGAGGGCACACACTTAATGTGTTGTGAAATATATTGTAATGTATTTAACTGCCTTCATTTTGCTGGACCCCAGGAAGAGTAGCTGCTGCCTTTGCAGCAGCTAATGGGGATCCATAATAAATACAAATCCTGGACTTCCTGACAGGTCGGCCCCAGGTGGTGAAGGGAGGCAACACAACCTCTGCCTTGCTGACCCTCAACAAATCACATTTTATTGGTCACATACACATATACTACCGTTCCAGGTTTCTTGGTTTCATCAGACCAGAGAACTTGTTTCTCATGTTCTGAGAGTCCTATAGGTGCCTTTTGGCAAACTCCAAGCGGGCTGTCATGTGCCTTTTACTGAGGAGTGGCTTCCGTCTGGCCACTCAACATTTACATTTTAGTCATTTAGCAGACGCTCTTATCTAGAGCGACTTACATTTACATTTTACATTTAAGTCATTTAGCAGACGCTCTTATCCAGAGCGACTTACAGGAGCAATTAGGGTTAGTGCCTTGCTCAAGGGCACATCGACTGATTTTTCACCTAGTCGGCTCGGGGATTAGAACCAGTGACCTTTCGGTTACTGGCACAACGCTCTTACCCACTAAGCTACCTGCTGCCCATAAAGGCCTAATTGGTGGAGTGCTGCAGAGATGGTTGTCCTTCTGGAACGTTCTCCCATCTCCACAGAGGAACTCTGGAGCTCTGTCAGAGTGACCATCGGGTTCTTGGTCACCTCCCTGAAAAAGGCCCTTCTCCCCCGATTGCTCAGTTTGGCCGGGCGACCAGCTCAAGGAAGAGTCTTGGTGGTTCCAAACTTCTTCCGTTTAAGAATGATGGAGGCCATTGTGTTCTTGGGGACCTTCAATGCTGCAGAAATGTTCTGGTACTCTTCCCCAGATATGTGCCTCAACACAATCCTGTCTCAGAGCTCTACGGACAATTCCTTCGACCTCATGGCTTGGTCTTTGCTCTGACATGCACTGTCAACTGTGGAACCTTATATAGACAGGTGTGTGCCTTTCCAAATCATGTCCAATCAATTGAATTTACCACAGGTGGACTCCAATCTGTCACGGTTTCGGCCGAGGCTGCTCCTCCTCCTTGTTCGGGCAGGTTTCGGCGGTCGTCGTCCCCGGAGTACTAGCTGCCACCGATCTATGTTTCATGTTCGTTTGGCTTTGTCTTGATGTTGTACACCTGTGTCTAGTTAGTCCTCATTAGTGTCCTATTTAGTTCTCGTTGTGTCTGTTTGGTGTTGTGTGTGATTGCTCCTCTGTTTGGTGTTCTGAGCTACGTATCTTCCCTCCGTTGTTTGGAGAGGTTTTCGCACATGTTAGTGCGCCTTTTGTTTGACGCCTGTGTGCGCCTTTATTTCGCCTCCGGGCTTATTGTTCTCGTGTACTACGTGAATAATTCACTAAAGTCTTTTGGACTTAGCTTCTGCGTCCTGCGCTTGATTCCTGCACCACACCCACCTTCAGCACCCCTGACACAATCAAGTTGTAGAAACATCTCAAGGATGATCAATGGAAACAGGATGCACCTGAGCTCAATTTTGAGTCTCATGGCAAAGGGTCTGAATACTTACGTAAATAAGGTATTTCTGTTTTATATTTGTAATACATTTGCATACATTTCTAAAAACCTGTTTTTGCTTTGTCATTATGGGGTATTGTGTGTAGATTGATGAGGGGAAAAAATACTTTAATCAATTTTAGAATAAGGCTGTAAGGTAACAAAATGTGGGAAAAGGGAAGGGGTCTGAATACTTTCCAATTGCACTATATCTACCTCAAGTACCTCGCACCTCTGCACATTGATCTGGTACTAGTACTCCCTGTATATAGCTCCATTCTTGTGTATTTTATTTTATTCCTCTTGTCTTAGTTACTATTTAATTTTTTATTTAATTTGATAAAACTGCGTCAT